ATTGCCCTCATTTCACATGCTAGCAAAGTTATGCTCAAAATCCTACAAGCTAGGCTCCAGCAGTATGTGGACCAAGAACTACCAGAAGTACTCATACAGGCAGCATTTCGAAGAGGGAGAGGAACTAGAGATCAAATTGCCAACATACGCTGGATCATGGAGAAAGCTAGGGAGTTCCAGAAAAACATCTACTTCTGCTTCATTGACTATGCTAAAGCCTTTGTGTGGATCACAACAAATTGTGGCAAGTTCTTAAAGAGATGGGGGTACCAGACCATCTTATTTCTCTCTTGAGAAACCTATGTGGGTCAAGAAGCAACATGAGAACTGGGCACAGAACCACTGATTGGTTCAAAATTGAGAAAGGAGTTCGGCAAGGCTGTATACTGTCACCCTGCCTATTTAACTTCTATGCAGAGCACATCATGAGAATGATGGGGCTAGATGAATCACCAGTTGGAATTAAGATTACTGGGAGAAATACCAACAACCTCAGATATGCAGATGATACCACTCTAATGGCAGAAAGTAAAGAGGAACTAAAGAGCCTCTTGATGTGGGTGAAGGAGGAGAATCCAAAAGTTGGCTTGAAACTCAACATTAAGAAAACTGAGATCATGGCATCTGGTCCTCTCACTTCCTGACAAATAGATGGGGAAGAAATGGAGGTAGTGACAGATTTTATTTTCCTGGGCTCCAAGATCACCGCAGACAGGGACTGCAGCCAAGAAATTAAAAGTCGCTTGCTCCTGGGGAGGAAAGCTATGGCAAATCTAGACAGCATACTAAAAAGCAGAGACATCACCTTGCCAACAAAAGTGTGTATAGTCAAGGCTATGGTTTTGCCAGTTGCAATGTATGGCTGTGAAAGCTGGACCATAAGGAAGGCTGAGCGCCGAAGAATTCAGGCCTTTGAATTGTGGTGCTGGAGGAGACTCCTGCAAGTCCCTTGGACCGCAAGGTGATCAAACCGGTCAGTCCTACAGGAGATCAACCCTGACTGCTCTTTAGAAGGCCAGATCCTGAAGATGAACCTCAAATACTTTGGCCACCTAATGAGAAGGAAGGACACCCTGGAGAAGAGCCTAATGCTGGGAACAATAGATGACAAAAGAAGAAGGGGACGGAAGAGGATGAGGTGTCATTCCTAGATGGAGTCACTGAAGCAGTTGGTGTGAGCTTGAGTGGACTCCGGGGGATGGTGGAGGACAGGAAGGCCTGGAGGAATGTTGTCCATGGGGTTGCAATGGGTCGGACATGACTTCGTGACTAACACCAAGTAGTTGTATCTTAGCCTATTAAATTTTAGGAAATTTAGAGGCAGGCAAAATATTAAACCTGTACCCTTCATGCTGATGCTACATCATGGGACACCTGGATCCAGCTTAGCTTATTTGTATCATGTGGCTAGCTGAGCATCACTGGGGCTTCGTTTGCCTCCACAGGAAGAACCTTGTATGTATGTTTCTACTGTGTGGTCTAGTATGTTGTGTCTACTGTGGCCAATGAAAAGGCCCATAAGCAGAACATAAACACAACAGAGGTTTCCTGCTTGTGTTCCCCATGGCTGTACTGTCTGATGCAAGAGGCAGCCTGTTGTCATAGAAGATAGTAGCCACGAATTGTCTTATCCCCCATTAATTTGTCTAATCCATCTAAGTTGGGGGCCATCATTACATCTTGGGGTAGTAAATTCCATAGGCACTGTTCCTAGAAGACATTGGGATCCAGCAGAAGCTCCGTGGCTGAACAAAAGGGGTGGGGAGGAAGTCTTTGCTGGTTCCCCACCTATCTTACCCCTGAAATGTCTTTCATACTCCTCCAGAAGGTGCCATCCCACTTCTCCCTCCAGCTTTTCAAGGCAGTGTTGCAGGAGCACTGGGGCTGCAGAGGGAAAGGAGCAGTCATGACTCTCATCTCCCTACCCTACTCCTCCAGCATGAAGAGAATGGCACTAAATTCCAATCTGGTGCCAACCCATTGAATCTATGGAAGAGTGCACCAACAGCTTCCTTAATCACTTGCCACTCCAAAGAACCAGTTGGAAAATTGTGGAGCGAATTGTATGCAGCACTGGAGAGATCAATCCTCGGCTGCATTCTACAATCAGAGAGGCTGTATGGAGGAGCCCTTGCAGGAATAGTTGATTGGACTCTTCTGGCCAGTGGAAGTCCAGTTAGTCAATCTAGAGCTCAGAGAACCTCAGCTGTAGAGCACTACAGATATGAAATAACAGGAATAACCATAGGAATAATAGATTCTATGTTCCATTTCAGAGCCTTCCCAAATCTCACGTGGAGACCCGTGAAAGACAGACAATCATCCCACATGGGATCCCTTTTATGGCTGAATTGTTGTGCTATTCTGTGAGTGAGGATTCCATCTTCCTCCACTTGGAACATGTGAAAGGTGGGTGTCACAAGGTGCGCTGTACATCCACTCTCATTTCCTAGCTTCCTCTGGTGTAAACTTTGTGCCGTTCAGAGCTTATTGAGATTATGTTGTGTGAAAAGCGCAAGATTTTTATTTATATAAAAGAAGGGAGGAGTGGAAGGTGTAAGTTCACATATGCACAGGAATAGTTTGTTGTTTTCATGACCCAGATAACCCTCTGTGATGTTGATGGGGGGAAGCTGGTGATTTCTGTGTCAGTGGGGTTCCTTATCCATTGCAGCTTTTATTCCAAGCATTATAGGAGTTCTCCATGCTTCAAACTCCATTATTAAAATGGGTTTAGCACCACAGATAGCTCCTAGGAAGCTCAGAGTAAAAGCTGCACTGGAAGAGGAGTCAACAACCTTGGATGTTGAGTATATTCTTCAGGACTGACTGATCCAACTGCTTCAAAGGAAGTTGAAAGAATCATCTTATAGCACAGTTAAGAGTGCAAAGAAACAAGCACTTTCTAAGCTCTACTGGAATATGTATACATCCCTTCGATTAGGACCAGATAGTTTTTCTTCCTTGTCACACACACATTGGTTGAATGAGATGGCTTTGAATTCTGTGGATCCAAGGCTTGCCATATCCAACTCCAGGATGCCCGTTCCTCCAACCTGTAATGCCACTGAAACACTGCTGATGATAAATTTATTAAGGAAAACATTTCTGCTAGCATATTTGGAACTCCTAGGAGCTCCTTTGATAGATCAAGTTCTGCCCTGCCGGGGGAACTCTCTTCCACCATTGGAACAGTTCATGTGAAGCATCCTGTAAGTCAGAGAGCACTGGTCTAGGAGTGTTGTAGCCCTTACTAATTTTCCCTGCAGAAAATAGGTTGTGGGTAGTGTTCTTGTGTCTTGAGCTAAAGGATGTTGCAGTAGCTGGGAACAGAGCACCAGCTATCTCTAACACTGAGTGGGATCCTTGTGTGGACAGAATGGTTCTTACAAAAGATACCTCTGCCCAATTTCCCCCACATCATAGTTCACTCCAATTAGCAGGGCTCCCCCATACCTGTATGATGCTCGTATGTAGCATTTTCAGGGCACAGATGAGGTGGGGAAGTCACTCTCCACCAGCCCAGTTGCATATACCTAGATATGGATCAACACGTTTGCTCTCCTGGTTGGATGTGGATAGGGCAGACCAGGATATGAGTGGTTGACATGTCAAAACTAACCTGATAGCAACCTGATGCACAAAACTTGTAGGTCTCACTCAGAGCAGTAGTTGGGAATTTTCTTCACTCATGTACAAGTAGACACAGACAATTCTTGTAATGTTTTGTCCCTCAGCATATAGCAGTTCGTTGTACATATTTTTGCAGGTCAACACAGTTCTTAACTTGAGGGCATTGGGCAAGTGGTGTCCTGCCAGATATGTGTGATATGACCTCTCTGGGGAGCTGTTGCAAGAAGAGTTGTCCTGTGGGACCCAATAAGGTTTAGATTTCAAACCAGCCTTCTGGAAGCTGGTCTAGAGATCATACATCTTACCAAACTGACTGCAGAGATACAAGTTAAGAAAGGTTTGAGCACCACAGGATTTTTCTTCATGCAGGAATATGGTTGGGAACATGGAGCTTTCATTAATCCTGCCTGGGGGAAAAAATCAGAGCTATTTGAAAGCTTGCCACCTTGTCCACCCAATTTAGCTGGTTCAATTAAACAGATCTGACGATTTTTGAATTATCTGTCCTTTTTCCCAGTGTTGCTCTTCACCACCTGCTATTGGGTTAGAAGACAACTGCAGTATCAGGTTTAGCTGCTGAAATGGAGGTGCTTTCAGTAGCCAATCTTAATCTTCCTTCTCTTTCCCACAGGGGGGACCCTCTGGTGTCATCTTCACTCACAGCCTCATTTACAGAGCAATGCCTCAGACTCCTCTCATGCATTAAATCCAAAACTCAGCTTGGCTTTGGGACAAACCAGTGAGGAAAGCTTTGTCAGAAACTCTCAAGAAGCTGATTCTGTATCCCAGCAGAGCTGCAGCATCTATCATGAGAACAGAGTTGGCCCTACTCATGTAAATCCCCGCCTGCTGAGAAGTGATGACCATTCATTTACTTGGTCAACCACTAAAACCATGACCAACCATAAATGGTCCATTGAACCTACAAGTGGGCCACAGGAAGTTGCTGGAGGAAAGGAATTATGTGTATCACGTGCTTTGTTTGGTGCTACAGAACTGGGTTTGAAGCAAGTGCCTCAGGGACATAGATACTTGACCAACCAGGGTCTGATTTTCCAGTCATGGGACTCAGTTGCTGCAGTTGATTATATTGGCAGCATACCTGAGAGAGCCACCCCTCAGCAGGAACCAAAACTACTTACAGGCGAGCAATGTGGTGGGTCTCATCTGAAGGCAGAAAGAAGGCAGTTGCGAGATGAAAGGTGCTTTATGCAAGAAGAGTCAATTCTTGATCAAAAAAAGCACAAAAGCCAACTGCCTTCAGAGCATCAGGGGTTTCTTGCACATCTGGCTGTCCAAAGGCACAGTTCTGGAACTTGGAATATAAAGGAGGACCAGATCCAGGTCTGGGCAGCTGAACTGATTTTAGCCCTGGAGGGTCTCCACCAACAGGGGGTCCTATGCCAAGATCTCAATCCACGGAACCTGCTTCTGGATGATACTGGTAAGTTTCTCTTGCATAGTGGATGGAGGACAGTTTTAGGCCTAACTCCTATCATTCCTACCCATTGGCTATGATGGCTGTTTCATTTCCCTTGTTGTTGAGCTTTGTAGTACAATCAAAACAACAAAATTTCCTACTATTGTAGTTTTCCCTAACCTAGTGATCGCCAAATGTTTTGGACTTCAGCCCAGGCTAGTGGGCTGGAATGCTGGCAGTTGTACTACTGCTTACTTTGGTCAAATTATTGGTATTGGACCATCTTTGGCTAGAGGAATATCTGACACTAATGTCTAAAGGACTTCTGTAACTTGGCAGAATCGCTATTCATTAAGACACCAGAGCTCTAGACTTCTGAAGCTTATAAATGAAATGTTTTAGGCCCTGGAGGGTGGGGGATACTTCCATCATTCCATAACCCCAGAATTAATTTCTGATCCCATTTGTCTGCAAAATAGTGCTGCAAAGCCATCAGCTAGAGGCAAGCAGTGGAAATTTGAATAGGGCTCCTTATACCTGCTGTATTTCTTGGCTTTGCACAACCTCCCTTGATGTTCCTCTTAATTTACAGGTCACATCCGTCTCACATACTTTGGCCAGTGGAGCGAGGTAGAGCGGCAATGTTGCACCCAGGCACTGGAAGATTTATACTGCGCGCCAGGTATGGGAGGGATCATTTGCTCTTCCCTTGTTCACTGCAGCTGGGCAGTGAAGGACAGGCAGCGATCTCCCACCCAACTTGACATGCAAGCTGACCCCATTTTGTTGTGAATACAACCTGTTGATAGCTTTCCTGCAGGCTGCTACAGTGGCAGAAGCCAGTGAAGGCATCCAACGTAATTGTTTTTCATGCTTTTTCACTGCAGAGGTGGGTGGAATTTCTGAGCTGACAGAAGCCTGTGACTGGTGGAGTTTTGGTGCATTGCTCTATGAGCTACTGAGTGGAACAGTGAGTAGACTCATACTTGGATATATCTGGAGGGGCACGCTGATCTGGGGAACCCAGGAAAGGCATTGGTACTAGACAAAGTATATCTCAGAATGTGTGAAGCATAAAATTGGTGATTATGACCAAGTGCCTGAATTTTGGACTCTGTATCTTCTTTCTTCCTTGTAATGTTTTTGTTAACATGGATTGGCTAAGACATGGAGACTACTTACCTCAGTGGCATGGCAAATGGGGTGCTTTTCAGGACACCACTCTCGTAGCATTAGCTGCCTGTGCTGCAAGATGTCACTTCTAACATGCTGTTTTCTCTCTCAGTCTTTAGCCCAGAATCACCCCTCAGGGATCCATCCTCACACACAGCTTCACCTTCCAGAAAGACTCAGCCATTCTGCTTCCTCTCTGCTTTCAGAGGTGAGGCTGCCCAGCTAGTATGAGTGAGTGGCTAGAACAGTTGTCTCCAGCCCTAGTGCATTCAATATGCTGGACTGCAACCATCAACATCCCTATTCTGAGCTAGAACAGGCTTTGTTCTATATGCTGAACTACTTCCCTTCTTTCCTTTCAGCTGCTGCAGTATGAACCCAATCAACGTTTGGGCTCTGGAGAGGAGGGAGTGAACAAGATCAAGTCACACCCTTTCTTCAGTACTATCCAATGGAACAAGTTGGTTGCATCATAAGAACGGAGTGTGGGGAACAGTCATGCTGCCAGAATGCAAGACCTAGCAGCAGTCTTTGCTACATGAGCCAAACCCATTCAAAAGCACCTACCCTCCTGTAAAGTGTCTGGGGCCAGATGACCCTGGGTGGTACTAGTAGTGCTGCTGCTCTGGAGGTAATCTGCAGAGCTGGACCTGGTCCTAATTGTTTAGTCCTGAGCTGCTCCTCTTCCACTTCCAAGCTATTAACAGCTGCAGATCAAGCTGAGCATTAGAAGAATATTTATGACCCTGAAACTATTGTCAAAGAATCTAGCCTAAGTAAGATTGTTAAGTATTGTGTAAAAGCATGTTTAAGGCCAAATGCTAAGGCCTCATATTTGGTGCTCCTTAAGGAATTTAAATAGGACCTCATTATTTCTTGCCCTTCATGACAGGCTTAAATCAGACATGGCTCAATGGGGTAGCTTTCCTCACAGCTACTACTCCTTGCACCCCTATTCGAGCTCACCTTTTAGTGCTGCTGCTATTTTTCCTTGCTTTGCAGTTGTATCTGCTCTATCACTTCTCATTTTAACTTGAAGCATTTTGCTATTCTACATGAGCTTAACCCATCCCAAGTTAGTGGTGCATTTCTTCAAAAGTGGCACTAGATGGATGTCTTTGGGTAACAATCTATTTCACAGCTTGCATGTGCACCCTTTACATTTTGCTTCTTCTGCAGAATGAAGACAGCTATTACTGAGAGGGGGAATTGAACAAATGCCTCTCTTTGTGACCCCTTCTCTGTGGATCTTCCATTTTCTTGTCCATGAATGTTTTAAAATCCAATAAAAGCGCATAGCACAACAAGCATGTGTGGGACTCTTCAGTCTGTCTCTGCTGAGGTTCCTGTGGAAAGACCTAGCTTGGATTCCACAACAGAGTCAGTCCAACATTATGAGCTTAGCAAGCATCCTTCATGCAAGAGGTCCTGGGAATACTGGAAACAGTTCCACTGCTGCCCACTGTGTCTTCAAGTTTATGGCACAATGCTTTGCTACAGAATTACAGGTTGTAGGTACACTCTTCCTTGTGCAAGAAGCCAAGGCAATTTACCTCCTCAAGCCAACAAAAAAATCTTAAATTCTACCTATCTTCTTGGGAGACTATCTAAAAACTGTTCTCATCTTGAAATGAAGTAACACCAATCTTATACCAAATACTTAACAGTAGCACAGCAAATGTGGCATACTTCTCAGCAACACTTAAGACTACCTACCTACATCTCTGCACCCCTTTCTCATGCATACCTGGAGTCAACATGAAACTTCTTAATGCCCTAGTTTAGTCTGGCTAAATCTCACTAGATAACATTTTTCTATTACTGTTCTGTATTTTCTTTGCCCAATTCAAGTGGATTTCAATGCTGCTGCAGTAGCCATTTTTGATAGTAGTCCAGCACCTTTGGTACAGGAAGAGACATAAATTTTTACATTTAACCAAAAAAAACCCCAGTTCACATCTTTAGGAGCATCACAAACTAGGCCAAAAGGAATCACAAAGAAACCCCTAAGTAACGTAGTTTTGCTAGATAATGGTCACAGAACAATAACAGCTCTCTAAAAATGGAACCATTTCAAATACCTGCCAACCATACAACTGTACAGTGGGGATGGAGAACCTGCAGCTCTGCACATGAGAGGGATTACTACTCATCAACCATTCTGGCTAGGTTGACAGCTGAAATCAAATAACTGGAGATTTCCTACTCCTGCTGTACTGTATTGTTTTGGGCTGAGTGGCCTAACATTTTCCTTACTAAGAGGTTGTAAAATGCACATCCAAGCACTATTTATTTATTAAAACATTTTTATGCTGCCCCATTCACCGAAGCAGAATGCCTTTGTTTGTTCTTTAAAATATTTCAGACAGTCAGTGGGGGGTGGGGAGACTGTAGTCCTCTGGGGATTGCGGGACTCTAACTCCCATTAGTCCAAGCCAGCATAGTTAGAGAAGTCACCTTCCAGATAACAGACTACAGCCCCACTTCCCCGCAACTAGAGTTTGTTCTCTTCTTCCTACCATGAGAGGTTTAGGGATGAGGAAGTATTTTCTAACCATCCCACTGAGACTTTAGAAAAAGAGAACTGACAAACCAGATGCCAATCACCTCCTGTTCTACAGCTACAGAGCTAATTACTTTTCAGCCCCCAGGTTTGGTTAGAGGCAGTATACAGGCACCTACCTAACACTATGGCTCCAATCCAGTCCATTTGAGAACTGAAAGCATTTCCACGTTAGCTCCCTCACCTATGAACATCCTTCCTTCCAACATCAGCCCCTCAGAGATCTTTCAAACTTAGGAAAGTGAATCTGAGAAAGGCTCATGCATGTAAAAGTGTTTTAAGCCCTAGCCAATGTTACTAAGTAAAAACCATTTGTATATACACATATGTATATACTTCAAGAACTTCCTCCAAACTCTCTGGAAACCATAAGGATGCTGAGAATTCCACCAGCTTCATGTTAGCAGTCTCAGATTGGCTTAGATCCTTGCATCACAGCTTTTTCAGTTTTTTCATGGAACAAATTAATCGTATTTCAAGCAAATATTTAATTGTCCCATTGTTGTGCAAGAATGGCTTTCAAGGCAGTTCCACACTGTATTTAATGGAATAATATAAACTGTGAAACTACAATTTAAAAACCCTCATTTGTTATTAATAAACCATGATTAAATGCTCAGAGAAGCAGGCCAGGCTTTTCCCATTGTTTGAGAATAGCAAGCTTGACATGGCCATTTGGTTGTGACAGTTCCTTAAGCTATCCCAAGTTCTTTTGGGTACCTATTTAACAGAACCCTTAAGAGGATAGCCATAACATTTAGAACATGTTTACACAGAAAGCAAGCAGATCTTAAATCTTTCCACAGAAGACAAGAAAACCCTGTGATGCAGAGATTGAAGTCATTATTTGCTGCCAGATTTGAACTAGGCACCCATGGTTCACATGCAAACAGTAACAACATATTTAACTAAACCTGCATTTAAGCTTTTTCTTGGTTACAGTATAACAGCAACCTATGGTTTGATGCTAAGCTAGAAGCGAGGGAATCAGTATGTTAGGACACAGCTTGTTCACATGGCACCAGTGATTTGGCTTTATAAATGAGTCAGCCTAGAAGGAGGCAGCTCACATGACACACTAGCAATTCTACTACTCAGAATCAATCTTACAAGGTTTATTTCCTCTACTAAAAGCTAGAAGGGCCAGGCTAAATGCAGTTCACATTCCTTTCTTTTGTGCTTATACTATGTCTCTACTTTAAAACCTATTCCCCACCTGCATTTCATTCAACTCTTTCATTCTCACACACATGCACGTTGTTTCCGTGTTTTATTTTGTTTAAAATCTGTTGCGTTAAATACTTTAATTACAAGTTTTGTGCGGCAGACATGAGTAATAAACCCTGCAGGCACTAGCAACCCCCTCACTCAACAATACAGATGCACACTATTGTACTAAGGATATGTCCCCATGAACCAGCAGTCTTGGGCTAGGATACATGCCACACATGACAATCTAGTCCCAACCCACATTACTGCACAATTAGACCATTGCAGACAAAAAGTTGATGAAACCACCCACCAAGGACCAGATGGTATGCAGGACAGCTGCAGAGGGCCATTACCTCCTTCCACTCCCCTGCAGCCTCCCAGCTTGAGCTGGTCTTGCTAGTCGGAAGGGGTACCAAGCCATACCCAAGATCACAACAGGAGAACTAGCTCTGACTTTTCCCCTCTTGGATTAGTTGCTACAACCTGCTTGCTCTTGAAGGGTCAGGATTTAGGAGGATCCCTGAAAACAATCCGTAAGACTGCCTCTCCACTAGTGATACAGGGTGTACAAAACAGCTGGGGAAGAAAGTAACCCCTGGAAGTGCCTCACCTCTGTTAAGTTAAAAAAAAAAAATGAGGTGGCTAGAGTAAAGATTTGCTCTCCCTTATCGGAGGTGAATGTAGATCAGGCACTGCAACAGAGTCACCTAGGAGGAACCCTGGCTAGCTTCCCTGGGCATGACAGCTAGAGCAGTAGAGACCTTTCCCTTGTCGAGTAGAGACCCAGCAGCGACCTTTCCCTTGTCTGGCAGCCTCCTTGGGTGGTGATTTAAAGCTGAAACTGTGTGCAAGACCAGCTTGGGAAGGAAACTCTAGCTAAGCAGCAGCTAGCTTCAGTTCCCGTGAAATCCTGGGAAGAGAGGCAAGGTGAGATCTCTTTGGAGTGAAAAAGGGGGCGGGGCAATGGTAGGCTATATCTCAACAGGCCATGACATTTGCTTGCCTGTGCCAGAAAGAAAGTCAACCATCTTTGGATGAAGGCAGAAAAGATGGGTGGCACACTACCCTCAGGGTTCCTTTCAAAGCACCTCCTGCCACTAAGGAGAAGACTGGAACGAAGGCTTGCTGATTTCTGAATGTCCTCTATTCTGCCTGCTGGTGCTGCATCCTTGCTCTACTGGATGGGGGGAGGGGAAAGTGCTGCTACCCTTTACAGGTCAAGCAGCAGCACACGAGGATCTTCCACCACAGCCTTGATCTTACGCAGGAAAGTCACTGCCTCTCTACCATCAATCAAGCGGTGATCGTATGTCAGGGCTACATACATCATTGGTCGCACCTCAACCTAAAAAAAGAGAAACACTCTAATTAACACTCAACATTTCTTTGTCAGTCACCTTAATTCTCTGTCTCAAGACCTAGGCAAGTTGCATTTTAAACCAACTCCACATGCCCAATTGCCTTGCATAGCAAAGGAAGCACCCCTCCCTGAAATATATCCCTGAACTACAGTCTACCTCAGTTAAAGAAGTTTGGATGTCGTTGCATACAAGCAGTGCACATACAAACCCCAGTTACAACTCAGAATCTTTTCCTAAATATTGATCTGTTTTTTCTGAAGAATTTCACAGGTTTCCAATTAGTGAGCTTTTCTAATTGGTAGCAGGGCTCCTGGTTAAGGCAAACCTGTTTTTTTCCTCTTCCACTCAACTAAAGAATCTTTTAGAATTTATTATATCCAGTTGGGAGATATATTTCTATGAGGACATATATGTTAATGGAAGGGGCTTGTCCACTTAGTTGTGTTTTGCAGAAGTCCTCCCAGCAGTATAGGAGCCAGTTATGAAAAAATGGCTCCTAAGAGGTAGGTAAGTGGAATCTCCATACTACAGGCTATATTTGGTTCCCAGCCAGCTACTTGGCTTGCAGATCCCACCACACCATGAATGAGGCCCCTCCCTAAAGCCCTTCCCCTGGGGAAAAGGAGAGTGGCTGAGCCATAGCAACACAGAGTGCCCCAGAATCAGTCAGCTGTGCTTCCTCTTTGGTCAAGAAGCAAAGGTGAAGCTGGCATGTGATGCTTTCCAGAGTGCCTTCTTGAGGCATTGGCCAAGTCTGTTTCACCTGTCACTTGCCATCCTCCAGCTTATATTTAAAACCCCCTTAAGCCAGGCTCTTTGGGACTTTCTATTCAGTACATACTTTGCCTCCAACAGCAACAGGCCTATCAAAGATGCCATGCATGCCCAAGATAGCAGACTGAGGGGGGTTGATGATGGGTGTTCCAAAAAGGGACCCAAATACACCACCATTACTGATGGTGAATGTACCGCCATCCATATCCTCAATGGCCAGTTCATTCTTGCGGGCCTGAAATGAAAAAAAAACCAGGAACTTTAAAAATTACTTAAGCTGGGTTACATGAAGGAGGGAGGTCAGGACAGAAAACTTCATGCTGGACCCCAGCTATCAACATTACTCATATGTGGACACTTCTGATAACACATTATCTTTGCTTTAGTAGGGAGAGCTACATGCCAATTCAAAATGGCTATCAAAATGCTGAAGGGGCGGTCCTTTCAGGTTCACAACTTAAGGATATAGAAACACTAGCTTCTAGGATGAAGAAAGAATAGTAAAAACACAACAACACAAGAGTGGGGACTTAGAAACTGCATATTCAGGTGGTTTAGCACTGTAGCAGAACATGCCTTTTCTAATGCAGGACATATAAACCAGTAATTCCAAGGAAAATAAGGGTTATCCTGTTTTGCACTACCTAATGTATCATTTATGGCTGTGCAGAAAAGGAGCAAAGACAGTGCTTGAGAGGAGATTATGATTCTCACTCCTACATGGGTAACTGTGTTCCAGGACACGTGTGTCCCGGAGAAGACAAAGCAGGACGAATCTGGATCTCTCCTGGCACATGTTCATTTTACCTTGAGAAGGCCTGTCTCATATCGTTGTGACATGCAATCTAAGCTGTTTTCATACCATCAACAAGATACTATGTTCATCATGATGTATTTTGTGTCATGCAACTGGCTGAAGCAGTGGCCAGTAGCTTAGAGAGTCATCTTTGAAAAAGCTGGGTCTATCTTTCATAAACTTGTCCATCAACCATGACTATCTATCTATCTATCTATCTATCTATCTATCTATCTATCTATCTATCTATTTATTTATTTTTGGATTTATATCCTGCCTTTTTCCTACAAAGGGCCCAAGGCAGCTTACATCTCCTCCATCATCTTATCCCCACAACAACCCTGTGAGGTAGGTTGGGCTGAGAGTCTGTGACTGGCCCAGAGTCACCCAGCTCAATGGAAGCTCCGAGCGTGGGGGCTTTGTACTTCAGAACACCAGATGGTAAGTCTGGGTATAACAGAGGAAGGCTGCTCGTGTGTGCCCTGCATGCCAGCTTTCTGAGGCATCTATCCAAATACTGCTTGAAGCAGAATGCCGACTGAGGAGGATTCTTAGAGGATCTGTCTTCACACTGTGAGGCATCTGAAAGTGTAGACTCAGTGCTTTAGCCCAGCCTTCCCCAACTTGGTGCCCTCCAAAGGTGCTGGGCTGCAACTGCCACAGTTTCCTATAGTGATCAGGAATGGCGGGAACTGTTGTCTAACACATCTGGGGGGCAGCAACTTGGGGAAGACGGCCTAGCTTTTTTGTAAACTGCTGAACCAATCCTTTATTTTGCTATCACAGTCATATCCTGTGTGTGCCCCCATCTTGTTTTCGTCCTTGGAATCACCTCATCACTGCTTACCTTTTCTCCCAGCTCATTGATCGCTCGTTCAATGTCAGCAAAGTTCATTGTTTCTACATTTCTGATGACAGGGACCACAAGACCCTACAGGTAAAAAAGATCTTTGAGTCCAACACAACTTCCTTATTATCAAAAGCACAATGATGAGAGCCAATTGAGTAATAAATTGTCACCTGGTGGTTTATCTAGTATGTACACAGTTGATCTTGTGCCTCCCACTGCCCTGCTAAATTTTCTGTCAAAATTCAACACGTTTGTCAGCCACTGTTTTCCCTTTAAGTGTCTAGGGAGCACGGTTTTGCTTTAAAACAGTATATACACTTACTGTGCATCTTGTTTCAAAGGAAAACTAGGTTTTCTGACCTGATTTAAAAGAACCAGAGATGGAGAAGCACAAACAATTGGCACTGTTAGTACACAATGCTAACCCACCCTGAAAATAAGGCACAGTGGGTTGATTGTCAGGCCTGCTGTGGGTTATCTGCACAGCAATCAGCTGACAGTGCATCGCTAGCTCCTTTCTATCCCCTCAAATTTCCTGTGAGTTTCCCAAAGGATGCCTCTTGTGTGAGGAATGTCTCCCCCTCCCCCAGACATGCAAGCTGTTTTGGGCTCACCACAGTATATTTCTCTTAACATTTTTTTTTCTTTTTTAGAGAGTAAAAGCCACCTAAGATACTGGCTAACCATTGTGACAGCTACAACTAGTCCTTTCCAAGTTCCCCAGTGACATATTGGAAGTGCTGCCTATGGCTTCCCAGCATTCTTTTTAAACTTTGCACACAAAACATTCTTTTTTAAAGCCCATTTTTTCAAGCATAGTTGCATAATTTTGCAAGCTGTCAAGATCAACCAAAGCGGGCAGAAATGGATTTGGAGCCTTGACTGGGGCAATGTCCAGGGGAACCCTGCTGCTCTGTGCCAGCTTCACATTCCTACAATCCTTCTACTGTGAAAGCTTGCAGTTTCACAACTGCGCTGACTTTTTAAAAAAAGGGTGGGGGTTTTGCACATACTTGCACATGTAGTTTAAAGAAAGGCAGGTTTTTAACATGTTGGGCAGCTATAGGTAGTCCCTCCAGGGTGCTGGTGGAATACTTTAAAGGGCCTGCTTGCAACTGTCCAAATGGGATTGCAAAACTGGATTTCATAATTTCCAGAGGGGAAAAAGTTTAAAAAGGAAAAATGCCAGTCAGCCCAAAATGGCTCACAGCAGCAGGGAGCTCCATTGTCAGCTACCATCTTTGCCACTCTAATTCTCCATATTTACACTGGACCACTCATCCAGATTCAGATGACACAACAAAACATTGTGGGTACAACAGTATCTAAAACAGCCCCTGGTGTTCTTGCAGAAGCTTGTTGACCATGCCACAAGCCACCCAGGGTAAATCAGTAAGATTTCTCCTGCATCAGTCTCAACTCAAGAGGAGCTTTGTTAACTGAAACTCGGCAGACCTGTGCCAATTCTGACCTGGAGTTTTGGACAGGAGGGAGAACCTTTTCCTGCTGTTACAGAAGACCAAGTGTCATTTCACACAGCTGGAGAGTCAATGCCAGTCAAACACCTCACCCCAATCAGCCTGACCTAGAGGCTGGGTCAAGCAATAGAAGTTCCCACAGTACATACCCTAGGAGTTGCTACTGCAACACTGATATCCACGTATTCCCTGTATACTATCTCTTTGGTTGTATCATCAATCACTAGATTGAAAAAGAAAAACAAACTGTTACATAAAACAAAATCAATGTCAAGACTCTGTTCAGGTGGGCCCATGACAGTAAAACAATCAAGTGAAATTGAAATAGCCTACTACCGTTTGACTAGTCCACATTTTATTTACATCTGTACCCTCAGTTACTGAGGATTATTACTGGAAAAGCTTTAGAACTGTCAAAGTACAGAGAAAACATAAGTTTTTTACCACTCACCAGCTTGCAAAGGGAAGTGTCTTGACCTTCCAGGAAAACAGCCTCCAAAACATGCTCACTGTGCTTTAGTTTTAGGGGGCAGAGAGAGATTCAGGAGTTTCTCCTGTTGCTTCTGGTTCTCCAAATTTCAATCTCAAAAGTGCAAGCAGACTCCCATTTCCCCCCAAATCCTCATCTACATAAAGAACTGAAGAAGATATTTTAAAGTTTAAAAATTTTAATTATGTTTTTATTCTAGTTGTGGGTTATTAATATTATTAGTATAATTATTGTTTGGGATATTTGATATTTATACTGTTGTATTTATTGTATTATTGTTGTAAGCCGTCCAGAGATGTGTAGTAATTGGACGGGTTAGAAATACTCCAAACAAACAAACAAACAAACAAACAGCAGGAGTCTGCCCTGTTGTTTCTTATCTTATCCAGACTTCCTGCTAAGTAAGAGGGAATTGTCCATCTTCCAAGCATTCTGGGAAAACTATACAGCTTTGGAGACCAGTTTCTTCTCACTTGTGAAGAAGTTTAAAGAAGGGAAAAAACAGCAGGAATAACTTTTTTTTATCTGTATCTCCTGTTTCAAATACTGCCTAGGTCCATAACTCGTTTAGCTTCAGCAAAGTTATAATTCACAACACTACAGTTTCTTGACTTCTCCATACGACAGCACAAATGAAAGAAATTTCTGCTATCTCCCAGGAACCCTAGCTAACAGATGCACGAGGGCTTGGGAAGCAAGCAACACAGATGAATAAAGGTTGGCTAGTGAGCCAGATAGAGGACCACTGGGGGAAATGGTAGTCAGAAAGTACATCTTCTCAAGCTGCAATTAAGCCTTTTAATAGAGGCCCACATCTCTGGGGGTCAACCGTCTCCCCAGTAACACCAATATGATGAATATGGTGATGCATGCCTTAATTAAATATTAGCAGATCTGGGTATAGGTACGCAAAGCCTCACCTCGCCTCTCTTTCATTACCTAAATATCCTTTTGCTGAAAAGGTTCGTTATAGCACAGTGGCATATCCTTGCACAATTGCAGTTAGTACAATCAGTGCTAGAGCCAAGACCTTCAGCTGTATATGACTTGAACATGAGGTCTGATCATCTCAATTTCCACACAGGCTTGCTTATGCACACCTCCGAGCAGCAAAATCTTCCTCTCAGAAAGACAGGCCTACTCTTCTCACCTGCATTCACAACTGGCTGTTCTTGCAGGGCAAAGGCTGCAGCTTTCACAAAGGCAGACATAAAACCAAGTTTCATATTGTGCTTCTTCAGGAAGTTGTCCCTGTGCCGAGCTCTCATTTCCTGGATGTTACTGCAAACACCATAAGAACACTTATTACCAGAGAGACATTAGCTATTCCAAACAAAAGGAAGGATCTTTTTTCAACATTGACATTGACACCAAATCTTCTGTACATTCTGATTTGTGAAATCAACCTGCATCTCAAAGGCAGCTTGCAATTTTAAAATACCCATGCCAGAGCTTCACAGGCTATGAGGCTAGATGAAACTACTATGCAGATTCAGAGTATAGACTGACTGACATATTTTCCACATTAAGATGTTCTATGAGATGTCAGAATTCCCAACGTTGCCTCCCAGCTTCTTAAAAAGAGACTATCTCTGGTAGCAAATTTAGGAAGATCAGTGTCTGAGACTTTGGAGAGCTGTGGCCAACCCAGGAAAGATAGCACTGGTTCAGGAGGACTACTGTTCTGACACAGTAGTAGAAAGCTTTAGAGCAAAGTTTACTGGGAAGTGACAAGGAACCCTGTGTTTCCAATTCAGCTCTATTTACCTATGCTGGAGAAATTCAGCTGTAATTTGATTAGATGAGGGTACAAAAGAAAAGTATGTGCCCATGTACTTTGGCCATGATTAAAAACACAAAAATGTAACATAAATTTGGGGCTATGGTCTTTGGAGGCTCCTAGTACACTGACTTTTAAAAACATCTTTAAAGTGAGAACAGAAAATGGAAGCTTCCATAATTCTTTTACTGGAACAAAAGCCAGCTGGATAAATTGAACTAAAAATGTTGTCTTAGCAATTCTAGCCAGATACTAAAGTTGATAGCCTCATCTTCCATCTTCCAGACAAGATGGCTTTACAGAGGCAGTTTTTAGCAAGCACAAGTGCTCCTTTGGGTTTAGACTGTTTGTTTTCCTTTGCCTAATCTTATTTAGAGCTAGAATTACCGTCCAAAGACATTACTGCCTCCCAAGGTATAAGGGCTGCTGGAATGAAGTGGTGGCTTGAGATGAGGAAGCCATCATGAGCAGGCTTCAGAGCAGACACTGACCCCCAGTGGGGAGGCAAAAGGCCTTGGCCTAGGCCCTTGCAAGTCGACTACATGGCATATGGGCAGGGAGCAATCAATCCAAAACAAATTATTGGATGCAACAAGAGCCCAAGGCCAGAGTAAAATGACACCTCCATTAGCCTCTAAAAGGAGAAACGTTCCAGCACTTCCTTTCCAATCATGACTATTTTGTCAACCTTATTATTTCAAGCACAAAATATTTACATGTTTTGTCTTAAGAAGCAGGGTAGGATTTCATGGGGCAATTTGATTTGGGTACCATTTCCCTTAATGCACTGAAACATAAGCTTCCCCCTCCCCATATCCATTAGTGCTCAAGCCACACAAGCACTTGGCTTGAAAACAGTTGGCTTCCCCCACTCTCGAGTAGATCAGAGGGGGATGGAGAAGAGCTCCAGAGCTGCCTTTTGGTTAAGATGCACTGCAGAGTTCTTGCTCCAAATGAGTCTCAGTTCTGTACATGAGCTTCCTCAAACACGGTCATCCACATAGGAAGACAGAAGTTAGATTTTACATCTCTGCTAGTTGGATATACCTCTTATCCAATAAGTGTCATCCAGCTTCTGTCAACACCATAAAAATGTGTCAAAGGACCTGGCCCAAATCACCAGCACTAGCGTATCTTTGAAGATGTAAGCAAGCACAATAAGAACTGGATTGTTGTGTGCTACCAGGCAAAGTTCCCACTAGCGAAACAGGGAATGATTCAGACTTGCTCGCATTAAATGAGGGCATCATTTTTACCTCATATCAATTTCGTTGAAGGTGGTTAACATGGCACATGTGTTTTGAGCCTCTTTCAGGCGCTGAGCAATTCGTTGGCGCATCCTATTCATTTTTACCTGAAATTGGATGAAAAGAGATAGTGGAAAAGGTGTCTTCTACCCAGAACAATTTAACGGCAGGTCAAAGAGACCTTGTGCTTCCCTTTCTAACAAGCTGGAACAAATTGCCAAAGTGATGTAGCAAAGCTGCCACTTTTTTGCCAATGAACCAAGAGATCAACTAGAAGCTTGAAAGACTACCCAGCAAAACCAAGTGACACCAGAGGCATCAGGGCTCAAACTGATACATGCCAGAAACTGTGCATAAGAGAAGTTTATGGGCTGAAACAGTGAGAAAGCCAGTAGGAAGACTGTAAAGCAAGTCAGTTCACAAACTGAAAAAACAGTACTACAAACAGCTTGGTAACATAGCCAAAGTGTTGACAGTAAGTAAGAAAGGCAGCATTCATTAACCAAGAATTCTGTATTCAGCCACTGGCCAGTGAATCATATAGCACAACTTGAGTACTCCATCTCATGAGTCCCTGAACTGATGTTTTACATTACTTCTTTCAGGTAAGAAAACCATTCTTCTTTTATATTTCAACCAACCAGTGATGGCTTGCAGACAGGGGGGATACAGGTCAAGTGCTCCAGTCAGTATAAGATAAACCATTCTCCTACAAGATGAGACCCTCAACCAACCTTATTCTTCACTGGCTTATTCAGATAGGGGTCATCTAATCCATCCCCCATTAGATTAGGAAATCTCCAATTACCCTTTCTTCCAATCTGGCACCTTTGCTGGCTGCAGGTTCAACAGCAGGAGCAGCTGGAGCCACTGTTGGCTTTACTGCAGAAACTGAAAGTAAATGGAAGAAGAAAGGGGTCAGGGAATTGAAAGAGCAAGGTTCATGTCCTTGTAAGCAATGGATCAGCCCCAAGGGCAATGCACAAACGCTGAATCAGCATTTGCCAATAGTTTCACAGTCATTAATTAAAAACACAAGAAAAGCCATGCTGGATCAGTCCAAAGACCCACCTAGTCCAGCATTCCATACATATGGTAGCAAACCAGCTGTCCACAGGATTCCTTAAGCAGGATGGGTGCAAGACCTCCTCCTGTCCAAGCTCCACAGCAACTGGTGTATGCAGGCAGGCCACCTCTGGTAAAGCAGGTAGCACAAAGCCAGTGAGGCTAGAAGCCACTGAAAGCCTCCCCTCCCATGAATCCGTCCAATCCCTTTTTAAAGCTATGCAGACTGAGGGTATCACTACTTCCCAAGGCAACGAATTCCATGGTTTAGCTATACGCTGTATGAAGAATGACTTTCTTTTATCCATCCTAAACCTTCCCCCAATCAGCTTCACAGGATGATCCTGGGTTCGAGGGTTATGGGAGAGGGAGAAAAATGTCTTCCTATCTACTTTCTCCACACCATGCATTATTTAAACGCCCCATCATCTCTCCCCGTACTTGCCTTTTTTCTAAGCTGAACACTCCCAGTTGTAACCACTCCTCACAGGGGAGCTGCCCCAGCCCCCCCGATCTTTTCTGTTGCACTTCAGAGTCAAACTAAATCTCTGCCTATATAGGCAAAAGGGAGATAGATACAATTTTGGTCTCACCTGGTTTAGCATCAACAGGAAGTCCTGACACAGGGGGCACTGGAGGCATTGCAGTGGGAATTGGTGCCGCAGTGGGAATTGGTGCTGCAGGAGCTGCAGGTTCTGGAGTGGGGGCTGCTGCTGGTTTGGCCTTGGCAGGGGCAGCTGAATAACCAGAAGACAAAAAAATTGCAAATATAACTTACCAGAAGCATTTTTCCACATATTATTTGAACAGGCTCTCTCAGTATCTTGAAGAAAAGCAATCATCATCAGCAACAGCATCACCACCACCACACTGCATTTACATGCCGCCTCTCTTCCTCTTGGGAATGGAGGCTTGCATAGTCCTCCACCCCATTTTATTCTAACAACTACCACCATGTGGGATGGGTTAGGCTGAGAGTGAGTAACTGGCCCAAAGTTGAGAACCCAACTTCATGGTTGAGAACCCAGATCTTCCAGGCCCCCAGTTCAACACTAACTATTACACCAGCCCTCAGTGTGGGGTTCAGGGTCTTTATCAGCATAATTTGAAGGGTCTACAATATCTCATTAGTAGTTAGCACCACAGAATTAACCCATAAAATGCTACAGCCTTGCAGAGGCAGTAAGTTCACAAGCAGAATAGTCTATGGAGTTACTTCTTTTTATCTCCAGGGCTACTTATGCCCATGACACTACCTAAACCCTGAGATTAGCATTGAAGTTCTACGTTCTCCAGCTTGCTGTTAACTTAGATTTGACTGGACGTTTCTACAGAGAGGGCCTTGGATCTAGGATCTGAATTCTATTCTGCCAGATTTGTGGGAACCCACACTTCTGCCCTGCACCAAAGCTCACCTCATGCACCAGGGCAGCATTTTCAGGGAACTATATGGCCTTTCATGGGAAGGAAGGACTAGAAATGCCTGCATCCACAAGCCTATTTACATTTGCTGAAACTCAGGGCCTTCTCAGCAGTGGATCCATAACTGTGAAATTCATTTTTCAAGGACTTTGCCAAGCCCTTTTCCTCATGGTTTTGTGTTGGGAAGCCCTTCCTATTTTTAAAGTCTTTTAATCAACTTGCATTTTTGGACCTCTGTTTCAATGAGTGCTTTTATTTTAGTGGTTAGTATGTATAGTCAAGGCTATGGTTTTCCCAGTTGCAGTGTATGGCTGTGAAAGCTGGACCATAAGGAAGGCTGAGCACCGAAGGATTGAGGCCTTTGAACTGTGGTGCTGGAGGAAACTTCTGCGAGTCCCATGGACTGCAAGGCGATCAAACCTGTCAGTGCTAGAGGAGATCAACCCAGACTGCTCTTTAGAAGGCCAGATACTGAAGATGAAACTCAAATACTTTGGCCACCTAATGAGAAGGAAGGACTCCCTGGAGAAGAGCCTAATGCTGGGAACAATTGAGGGCAAAAGAAGAATGGGACGGCAGAGGATGAGGTGGCTAGATGGAGTCACTGAAGCAGTCAGCGTGAGCTTAAGTGGACTCCAGGGGATGGTGGAGGACAGGAAGGCCTGGAGAAATGTTGTCCATGGGGTCATGATGGGTCGGGCACAACTTTGTGAATAATATAACATAATATTCAACTTTACTGTTTTGAACTGTACTTATACATGTTTACTGTTTTGTGAAGGCTTTTTACTTTGAAAAGTAGGATAGAAGGACACAAGCAAATAAACAGAACTCTAATTAGCAACTCCCATAAGATCCAGTCATAATGGCCAATGGTCAGGGATCACAGGAGCAGAAGCCCAAAACATCGGGAGGGCAGTGGATTGTTTACTCTAGCTTGTGCTTCACTCTAATGTGCTAAATATCAAGGCTGTAAGTAATACCATTTTTTTCTTGTCTCCATCTTCAACTAGGAGCACCACAGCCTTCATTTTTGGCTGTTTCTGAAAGTACTTGTAGTCACAAAACAGCAATCACCAATCAGAAAGTGAGCTGTAAGCTCCACTGACTACCTTAAAATCCAAACTTCCCAAACGTGGCTGTCACTTCCAAAATCACAAAAACAGCAACTGCTTATGAACAGCATGTTCCTACATTCCAGCCTCCTTCAAAGATCTGCTTCATTTTCTCTTCTTTTGAACAAGTCATACTACTTTCCAAAACTGCAAGAGTATTGTGAGGTTCTGCTGCCAGAATTATAGCAGCCAATCAAACATTAACAATTAAATCCAGTTACTGAATCTGTATGGCTATCCAGAAATTTTTTATTATTATAAAGCCCATTATTTCTTAACTTAAAATGACTGCCAACTACAACTGTGTAGGAAAAAAAATGACTAAGTTAGTTACATAACACTGACTTACCTTCAGTTTTCCTGAGTTTAAACAAAGGTGTACCTCCTTCCACTTTTCCCCCATCAGGGACCAGAAGTGCTTCAATTACTCCAGCTGCAGGAGCTGGAACCTGCACAGATGTCTGCAAATAGAAAATAAATTAGTTCCCTACTAATCAAAGGACAGAAATATGTAAGCAAATGGGACCAACTCCTGGAGAGGTATAATGTGTATATGTGATTGGCTATTTTGCAGACATCACATCTTTTACACTGGAAAAAACTGACTCTCTGAATTTTATCACATGAAAAAGTGGAAAGTAATTTAAAAGAAATGTCCACAGATCCAGAGTCCTGAAAGAAGCCAGTAGAATAATGACAGCCTCCATTACCTCCAATACACTGTGATTCACTCTCAGCTTGAGACTGATGAGAGGAATATGTCAGTTCACAGCAAGTACAGCTGAAAGTAAGAACATTTTTGTACTTAAAAGCTAAAGCACTGAACTTTCTGAGGTAATTTATAAAAGATTGTCTCTGTTCAGGGGACTATCCATTACTTTAAGTCTGCCCTACTCTGAAGTAACAGATGCAGGTCTTCACACTCTATATAATAATGATGGTAATAATAATCATAGAATCACAAGCTAGTAGAGTTGGAAGGGGCCAAGAAAACCACTAGGTCCAACCCCCTGCTGTTGCAAGACACCAGTTTACAGCATCCTACTCAGATGGTGTTGGTGATGACAATGTTAGATGAACAGGAAATTTACCTTGTCTGTTTCAATCTCACAAACGACTTCATCTTCTGCTACTGTATCGCCCACAGCTTAAAAAAAAAAGAATGAAAGTAAGAAACCGTGCTTCATCATTTCCTTTGATCCTACAGTAATGGCTCCCAGCAAGCCCTAATTTTTACATGTATCTTCACTTGATAGACTTGCAAGGTCATAATAAATGAGCTGCACAGGCATAGCTCAGGTGAATGGCCAAACTAGAACAAGTTTGATCATCTTTACCTACAGAATAATGGTACCCACAGCTCCTACATCCTATTCAGCCTGTTCCCAAGGAGATACATGTATGTATGTATGGGATGCACACATGCAAGCATACAAAATAGTGACTGATCAGAGGAAAAGCTTCGTACCTTTCTCCCACCTGACATCTCCCTCTGTGACTGATTCTGCAAATGCTGGGGTGTTCACTGTAACAAGTTCCTCTCCTGTAGAAGACATGTATATGTATGCAAATACATATGCAGTTAAACATTTCACATTTTGCTATTTCAGATGCTAGGATGTATGTGGGAAGGTGCCATTTCTAGTAAGGGATGACAAGGGGATAATCATACCATAAAACCATGTACTCCTTTGAACCACTCTGCACACTCTTTCTTCCAGCCTTTTTATACAGGAAACAGGAACTTCCATCCTGCAGGCATAATCTGGCCCACAGAGTTTCTGAATTCTCCAACAGGGTTTGCACACAGCATAACCAGTTACCAGTGGACATATTAGGAGGAGGGCATTCCCAATAAACCCACTGGGGACCTAAAGCTGTGCCTGCCCTATGTTCTCTCCTCAATGGGAGAAGGTGCAGGATGGGCCAAGTAGCTTCACTTTGTGCAGGTTCTCTCTGATAGAAGACCCACACACAGTAAAGTTGGTTTCAGGAAGATATGCTGACAGAATCAGACTGCACAGACCTGCTGGAGACCAAATTATGTCAATCAGTCTGCAGAGGGCTGGGTGGGGGACCATCTGTTCCCCAACACAATTTGGGTTGCATTCCCCTACTCATATACAGAACACCCCCCCCCCACAAGAACATCTAGGTGATACCACCTGTCTCTCCAAACCTGAAACTCAAATCAACCTCTTATTTGGATATTTTCTCCTTCTCTCATATTCTAGAACTTGAGAGGACACTTAGTGACGTTGGTGAGTGACAGATTCAGGACAGTTGGAATACTACACTTTTACACAATGCATAATGATTAAGCAGAGCTTGCTTTGTTATTCATACCTAGAACTGTAGCTAATTTTCACTACATTTAGTTTAGATAAGCCAACTTAAGTAATTATGGTTCTAAATTGGTTTGTTTGAAATTAAACATAGGTAATGTAAACCACATTTATTTACATAGGTAATGTAACCATTTATTAGTTCAATGGCCCAAGAGAAGTGGAAGGGAAACTTTCTGTTCCTCTTCTTCCTGATGGAGTCATATGCAATTGTAAGATTCATTCTTGCTCAATTCATGTCACAAATGGTGGTTCGATGTGCAAAGATTGCTGTGATCATCCACACTATCAAAATATACATTATAAGCTGCTCAGGTTTATAGTCTTTTGCACAGCGCCATCTGGTTTATAGTCTTTTGCACAACACCATTTACAATGATGTCCTCTGATAAATTATAATACTTGAACTAAGATCCAGGAAAAGTTCAGAAAGTGATATAACATGCCAGAGTCCATCCTGTAGAAAAGCATAACAATTAGCAATATATGACACACAGATCTTATTTCCTGTAACTCTGTACTCCTGCACAATAATTTAGACATGGCTATGTTTACTTCAGCAGGAAGAGTATGTGGAATTAAAACAGACACCCCACACTCCATTGGTTAAAGGTATCTCATTTACTTACGGCGGACCGTAGTGGTTCTGAAACAACGGACGGTGAAAACACGGGAGCCATTTACTCTAGAAAGCAAGAAAGAAGAAAAGGATCCATTGGAAAACAGTAGGAAGCTTGCAAGTACTATGATTTCACGTTTGTTTGTCTTGGTTTAATCAGCAGCCCTGTCAATATTTTTACTGCAGCATAACATCTGAAGCGAAGGAGGTTCTATTCCTGAGATGATCCTGAGTTGGTACTGCACTAGTTTTTTAGGTATTTAAAATATAAATATGTTAATAGAAGAAATGTAAATGCCCAACTGATACTTGCCAAAGTTGCATTAGTGATGATTCTCACACTGAATACTACCATCTGAATGGGTTGGCAGTACATTATAAAAAGCTACACTCAGCCATCTCAGATGTACTTCCCTCAAACACCCCTATGAGAAGGCACAAGCTCAGCTTTCCTCAACCTGATGCACTCCAGATGTTTTGGACAACTGCCAGAATTCCTCTTAGCCATGCTGGCTGGGACTGATGAAAGAATCCAAAATATTTGGAAGGTACCAGGTGGGGAAGGCTGAACTAGGCACCACACGCACAACAGATACAGTGTTGTTGTTTCACTCCCTCAATGAGTTATGCATACAATACCTGTTTAATCCTACCACAGACCCCTGCAATGAAAACACTTTTGGGTTTTCATAAAAGGGCAGCAGCACACATAACAGTCAACAGCCTCACAAGTGAATGCTTAGAGGGGCCACATTTCACTTTCAGAGTATATGCAGAAGATCCCAGGTTTATCCACCAAAACTCCAGTTAAAAGGTATGCCCGTCAAAGTAGAGAATATCTACTGTTGGTAGAGCCAAACCAACGGCAGGACGATTTCATATGTCCTCTTCCATCATTCATTCAGAATTTTGATTCAATTTTTTGCACCAACGTTACCAATTTTTACAATAATAAACAGCAAAAAGATGAATAGGATGGTAAAAGGATCCAGTTCCCTCCCTTGTCACAACTTCTAATCCCAATAAGCCAGAACATTTTTGATACAACGCTTAAGTTTTAAAATTACAGGGTCTTTGTTTTGAAATGATTTGTTCTGAATTCCCACTAGAGAGGGAGGAAAAGAGGAAAGGTGGACTATGAGTTTTAGTATTTCTGCAGTCATACAACACAACCCTAGAATTTGGTGTTGCAGAATTAACCATCCCCAAGAACTTCAGATTTCATTGGAAAAGCCACATATTTCTAGCTGTAAAGGCTATGAAGTTTGAAAATGTGAGGTCTCAGAAGTCAAATAGGCACCAAGCAGATCTCTCAAAATCAGGATTTAAGTATCCTCCATAGATTGTTGCCTCTCCTATAACTAGCAAAATAAGTAATGCAAAATAAGCAAATAACAATACACATGTTTCTTAACTCAGATAATTTATACAGTTCAAGAATACTGCTACTCTTGGCTCAGAATATGGGTTACTCTGCTGCAGGAATTTTGGGTTCAAAGTATAGCTACACTTTTCTGAAACTATAATGTAGGGGTGGGTAATTTGTGGCACTCCAGGTGTTTTGGCTTACAACTCCCATCATCTCTCTTTATATGTCACTCCATACTTCGGTATGGAAATTTCAGAACAGTGGCCAATAAAGATAAAACAAATAAAAGAAAGAATAAAGCAGTGTACTATAAACAAGATCACCTATGGCTGGATCAGGAAGGCTACCCAAAATAGAAGTGTTTTCAGAAGGTGTTAGAATCAATACAGCGCTTTGCGCCTGCCTGATCTTCAGAGGCAGGCAAATTCACTGAAAAAGCATCACCATGCTTAAGACTCCTCTCCAGGAACACTCTAACTGGACCACTGGTCCATGTGGAACATAAGACCTCAGTGGGCAGGCAGGTTGTTAAGAGAGGGCACTCTGTCAGGTATCCATATGTTGGCTAGGGTTGCTAGGTATTCACCTAGATATTGCAGCTAAAAACCAGAGATATAGAGCTATTGATATGTTGTGGTAATTTAGATGTGCTGACTCTGTAAGTTGTATACTTACAAATGCTTCCTGCTGTTGGCATAAGCCAGTCCCTGGCATCGTGACACACCTATAAAGTAGAAAACACTTCAACTAGAAATCTGGTCAATTTAGTTCACTTGGGGTGCAATTCCATGCATTTTCAGGCAGAAAAATGTCCTACAATTCGCTGCATGTTCCAGTCAGCCACACCAGAAGTTGCAGACATTTATTCTGTTGAAACAGGCACAGGACTTGCATCCTTACTACAGTAACTTGCATTACTTTGACCAAATCAAGAATGTCTAAGCACTATAAAAGGTAGGAAGGGCAGTTGCAGATCAGCATTTGATAAAGGTCATTTGCGTAAACCTCTAATCCATTATCCTAATCTTCCACAATTTAATACTTTTTCGTTCAGGAGAAAACAACCCCGGATGTCAGACAGTATTAACCAAAGAGACAGACAAAAGTTAATATCTACGATGAAATGAAGAAAGCACTGACATGATTGACTCTTTAATCAAATATTTAGAGAACTTTCTTTACCACCACATTTTCCCCAGAATCACTATTCAGCTAAATTTGCGGGGGGGGGGGGACTGCCAGTTAGCTTTTAACATTCTATAATTTTCCTGGCCTAGAAAGAAAATTTCATTCTATTGGAAATACTTTATGGAAAATACACCTATTATTGAACCCCCTGGTGAAAACCAAGAAGGCTTCAGATTTCAACTACAGAGACCAAGAAAACTTTAGAGATTTTTAAAAACAGAATTGGAAAGGGAAGGATTAGTGGTACAATTACAGTGGTAGCAACAGCATAAAATGCTACAAAGCACTGATTCCAACTAATTTCCCACTCAGGTGGTAGTCATTCTGTGGGTATTTACATACAGAAAAGTTATGCCAGAATGGATAACCTCAAATATGTTTTCCAGAACAGTTCCCATGAACAAGACATAGACACCTTCTGGATCCATCTCAGGAATTGTCAATGGAAAGTAATATAGGCTAATGTATTGGAATACAAGTTTTCAGCATGTATGTGCTATTGGGATTAATTCAGAAAGTCATTGTTCAAGTGGAAGCATTACATCAGAACTACCTCAAAGAGCTCCTATATACAACTTACTGTTTTGAGTCCAGATATATTCATTTTGGCCAAAGAGCATAATTCATACAGAAACTCTCCTGTGTAAACCATGCTATAGTGAACGAATGCAAAATGCATGAGAGTAGCATTGCTTTTTTATAATCTTTCACATATCTAATTGGGTACTAATCCTAATAACTTGGAAGGAAATGTTAATCATTCTGTTCTTGGAAGTAAAAGTTACCAAGGAAGGAAAAACTAGTTAACGTTTGCTTAGGTCATGATCACTTTCTAGCCTAGCAACAGATCTTGTTAGGAGAAGCAGTAGTAGTAAAGCACATACTTAGCATGCAAAAGGTGCTCAGTTCAATCCTGGCTTCTCCAGGTAGGAGTGGAAACTGTCTCAGAGCCTGAAGAGCTACTGACAGTCAGTGGCAACAGCACTAGACGAGACAGACAAGTGGTCTGGCACAGCATAAGGCACTCTCCTATATGTTCATTTGTTAGATGACTGAGTTGGTTATTTAAGATGCACAACTGTCAGACTTCTCCACAGAATCATGCAGTTTGTTTCACACATAATGTAACCACTTTTTAAATAGTTGACTTAAATGGAGAAAATGAAAATGGATGTTAGTTTTACTGCAGTTTATAACCACATTCTGCTCAGGCTCTTCTTTTTACACAGATTATGAAAACCACAAGTTATTATCCCAATATAAGACTCACCAGGGAGCGAATGTTTCCCTTGTGGACAGTTCCCCTGCCAAAGAGAGAAATGATACAATCACCACTGCAAAGAATGCTCAAGAGTAATACAAAGCAGACTCAACTTTAAAGTACATTCTAAACTAGACAATGAATACATCAGACTCTGTAGTCCATATAATGGCTCCCCTTAAGAGCAATAGCGTGCAACTATTTTAGTCTGTCAAAAAAAATGCCCCAAGTTAACATCTCACCCTTTCACACAATCATTTTTTAAAATAGGAAAAAGTAAAGCTAGAGCAATTCACCAGGACAGCATATAAGCAGCAAGTCATGGCAGGTTTCATGTTGTCCAAACCCAGCCCAGTTTCCCAACAGTAGTTTAAAAAAAAAAAAAGCCACTCTGATATCTCATAGGCTGTTTGTTTTACCTACAGTGAGTTGTCCTACACAACCAATCTCATCATGGGTAAAGTCTAGCAGCCAGCAAAGCAATAAACCCTTGTCACTCTTCCTGAACTTTCCCTGACCAACACTAGTGCCAGCTGCCCCACAAGAGCTGAACCAGTGCTCAGGGGTGGCTGGTACTGGATTGGTGCCCTCCCTATCATGATCAAATGACATTTTGTCTCCTTTTGACCTTTTATCCCCCTCTGGAGATCACAAAAGCTGATAAAATGTTTTTGTTTGCTTTGTTGCTGAGGTTGGATTCTTGGAGGTGCACAACTCTAACCATCTCAAATGCCCAGTTTCAACTTTTCAATGCCCTGTATGGTGTTTCCTGCCAAAGTACAGTAATTCAAAGAGACTGACAAAGCAGGGCTACAAATATATACATTTGTAACCTTGCTTCTCATTTGTCAGCTGCCAAGTGAGCAGTGAAGCCACAAGGTGATCTTTGCAAACAAAAAGAGATAATAAATTGCTCAGGGAACTTCAATTATTGGGTGGAATAGATATTCATCATCATATTTGTTGCTTTGTGGCAAGGACTTCTAATTTGTTTGTTTGGACCTGGCTGTTCTTGGTCTTCTCTACCTCTTCCACTCCTTCCTGAGACTCCAGGTGCTCAGAATACTGCAAGCCACTCCATTTATGAGAGCACGGTGTCTTGCCAGTTGTCAAAATGCATGTTTCCTTTTAAAATTGGGGTTTCAAAGGGCCGTTTTTGAGAGGTACACATGCAGATGTCATGGTAGTGAGGAGACAAGATGGGTCCTGCCATGAAGTCCTCTGGGATACCCATGGGAAAACCAAGGGGGAAAGAGTGGGAACAACCCACAAATCACATTGTATAGCTTAGTCACAGAGTGGGTTGTTGTATGTTATGGAAGTGTGACCAAATATCAAATAAAATAAAATAAAATATTAAATTTCTCCATCTGTTTGCTCACATAATAGATGCCTTATTCAGAAGTCCTACTAAGTTCACTGGGACTTGATCCCATGTGTGTATGGTTACAGCCCTAGTAAAAAAAGGAATGGGTTATTGAAACCTTATGTATGTCATTGTTATTTGATATAATAGGCAAAAATTTAGATCTGACAGTTACATATTGTACCAATTGGATCTTGGCTTCAAACTGATTGCAGGTATAAATTTGTTTTTTAATCTTTCAAATTGAGATACAAAGTTTTCCTTTTGAGTTATCAAGAAGCTGAAAGTTTAACTCTACAATATTTAAAATGAAGGGGGGGGAGCATTTAATGCATATATCATCCCAAATCATTTAATTCAAGTAAGAAAGCAGGTTGTCACAATTAAGCACCAGCTTTGAACATTTATCTCTAGAAAGCAAAATGATAGTACAAGTCTTATGCAGTGAAGGGGGTAGAGTTCAGCTCCTTGTTAACACTTGTATTCTGCAGGTAGCTTTAAACAAAAGCTAAGCCCCAGTCATGTAAAATGTTAATAATCATAGCCGAGAAAAATTACATTAACTATATACAATAGGACATTCCTAATCTGGCAAGAATTCTTATTATGATCAGCTCCACTAGTCTCTTGTTGTTTAAAAACTAGAACGGGTTAAATATTTTAACAATCCCTGGATTATTTTATCCAGGTCACAACTCTACTTCTTACACAAGTAGATCATTAGAGCTTCAATTTCTCATCTTACCTAACCAATGAAATCCACAACTTTGAATTCATCTTGTGTTCTTGTCTTTCATTTTAATGGCAACAATCTCAAATTGTCCATGCCTTGGTTCTCTTCTTTGATATACAAAACAGTATGCTTGGCCTTGTAAATGCTTCATTTGTTGCTATTCAACATAATGCAACCAAAATGCATTGTCTGGAATTCACCTCCCCATTTTTATTTGCTGAAGTAGTGACTTTTAGTCAAGGTGCTTGAACAAAGTCAAATCCTTTCCGCTACAGACCAGCAGATATTTTCCTTTTTCTTATCATTTCTCAAAATCTAACTATTATAGCAACTTCTCCATTCTGAACACAGTAGTAATTGAGACAAAAAAAATACTAGTACCCAGACATTAATCATACTTAATAAAGATGGCCAAAGTGCATCATTTCCTAAGCTGAAAGGAACTTTAACAAGCCAAAAGAAATTTATCCTGAAGACACAAGTACAAACCTGGCTTGACACAGTAAGGATCTGCATTTATACTGATAATCATTAACGAAGATCCTGTCATTCATACTTTATCAGCAGTGTTTACTGCTATATTAAGGCAAGTTACACCTGCTTTACGTTTTGGAAGAGGAAGGGCTTCGTTTGCAAATACCCAAATGGTGCAAGGACAATTAGGGTCAGGTCGGCATAACAACTCTACTAAAACCGGGTGCTATGGAAAACAACTTCTGTATGTAGCGACACAAAGATGTCACTGAAGTGCTCCCACCTTCAGACCCACCTTCACGCCAGGCAGATTCCGCGCCCGAAACAATCCCAGTATGTTCAAGAGCACCCTGAAACAGAAACTCCACCGCCGGCCGGCTCGCCTCACCCTGAGAGAAGGGTGCGCTGGCCGCAGCCGGCAGCTACCGAGGTACCCCGGTTACAAAAAGGAATAGCCGCCGCCGCCGCCGCCCGTGCTCAACAACCTGCTCAGGGTCTTCAGCCAGGCACGGGCTGGAGAGAGGAAAAAAAGGCAGCTACCGGAGGCGACCGGCCCCTCCCCGCTGCGCGCTCTGCGGTTCTTGCCCCTCCGTCCCCGTCCCCCCGTTGCCCTTGGCGCTCGCCCGCCGCCGCCCGCTATGCTCTGGTGGCCGCCCCACTCCCCGCCTTCCATTCTTTCCTGGGAGATACCTGCCGGACGGCGCAGAACGAGCGGCCGAGCACCCGGTTGAGGCAACGGGCCCGGGCCAGAGAGAGGAACAGCATCGCGGCAGCAGCACGATGAGCCCCAGGGCGCACACCGGAACCAGGCCCGGCAGAGGCCGGATACGGCCTGGAAGCGACCAACGGTAGCTAGCGCTAGGGGCAGAGCAAAGCGGGCCGTACCAATTACTGCTGACCGAGGCACAAAGGAAGAAACAGCCGTGGATGGGGTGGTGTCGATGAGGCAAGCCATCCCGAGGACGGGATAGGGAGGAGCAGAGGCAGCCGGCATAGACTTATAAGAAGTAGATTTATGCACAGTCTTCATCTTCCGAGTTGAGGCAAACTCCGTTATTGGTCTCCATTTGAGCAAAATTGAGAGCTCACGGCCCGTACGATTCGTAGGGAGAGAAAGCCTGCAGAGCAGGGGAGCCTGGTGACTCCCGTGTTAGTGGGTCTTCTTATCCATTCTAGCTTTTATTTTGAGCTTTATAGGACCTATCCATAGTGAACGTATTAGAATTCAGCACCACGGATAGTTCCATTAAAGTTCAGAATAAAGGCTGCAATGGATAAAGAGACCCACCGACACAGGAATCTTAGAAGTTCCTCTGCGCCCCAAACTTTCTCCGGTCCCCACATGTGCGCGCGCAAAAGCTCGTGCTTTTTCTGACTTAAGATGTACTTCGTATAGGCTGTCTCCGCTTCGGTAGAGAAAAAAATCCCAATGAAGGCTCGTCTTAACGCTCTCTGCGCTCCCTGTTACCTCAAAATCCGCCAGTTCTTTCGCACACAGAACTTGGCACATTTTCTGTTTCTAGCTGAAACCGCTCCCACTTTTAGGGATTGACATGACCGCAGCTCGAGTATGGGCTTTCTCAAATGACTGAATGCATAAGAACAGTCTCGCTGGATAAGACAGAGTGCAGAAGTAGATTGCTAGTGCCCAGTTCCTTATTTCCATAAAAGTTAGAAACAGTCAGTCACTGTGAAATAAGGAATTAAGATTGACATAACCTTGCTGACACTCTAAAATATGCTTTGGAGTACCCTACATTGCATGTCTGCATGACGGGGGACTCTCCCTGAGAAAAGTCAGATAAAATCACTTCAATCAAAGCTTGTTTTTCCTCAATGTTAATATTTTATGATCCCAGATCAGAATTACAAATAACGGATTAGGTGCATGCACTGCACAATAATCTGTGGGACATCTGTAATGATATACCAATTACTCCAGGAAAGTGTCCTCTACCAGAGGCTGTCCAGTCCAATACTGAATTTGGGCAGTGAATGTGTTTATTAATAAGGCTGAGACAAGCTTTGAAAAAGTCACCTAAGAGCACCACCATTATTGGAAAAGGAAACTTTAATAGAGTTAGGTCACTGATAAAATTTTGGATCTATAAAGAAATAAGGAACACTTCCAAACTCACTTTGAACCAGAAAATCTTCAAACAGCCTTTTGCAGTTCAGTTTGTTTCCTTTAGACTAAGCTGATAACAGAAACATAGAGCAAGAAACAGCAAGTCAGAAGGTGCATCCTGGGCAATCTAGTCTGACCCCTGGCTCCAGCCAGCTCCACTCATGACATGCCTACCATGTGCATGTCCAGGCTATCCTTAAACACCCTCACCAGTTAGGCTTCAACCACTTCCCATGGAAGCCCATTCCATACCCTATGGGTCCTAACTGTCAGGAAGTACTTCCTGGCATCCAAACCGAACCTTGGTTCCCTGAGCGTTGCTCCATTGGAACACGTCCTGCTGTCCTCCGCAGGGGAAAACAGTCTCAATTCACCTCCATGTGACACCCCCTCACATACCTATATGTCGCCAACAGATCCCCTCGGAGTATCCTCTTCTCCAGGCTGAAAAGACGCAATTCCCTGAGTCTCTCCTCATACAACTTTCCCTGCAATCTGGCCACCATCCTTGCGGCCCTACACTGAACTGATTCCAACCTGAATATAAAAGGTAAAGGTTTCCCCTTGACATTAAGTCCAGTCATGCCTGACTCTAGGGGGCGGTGCTCATCTCCGTTTCCTAGCCGAGGGAGCCAGCGTTTGTCTGCAGACAGTCTCCGTGGTCATGTGGCCGGCATGACTAAACACCCAAGTGCACGGAACGCTGTTACCTGCCCACCGAAGTGGTACCTTTTTATCTACTTGCATTTGCATGCTTTCGAACTGCAAGGTTGGCAGGAGCTGGGACAGAGCAACAGGAACTCACCGTTGTGCAGATTCAAACTGGTGACCTTTTGATCAACCAGCACATCAGCACAGCGGTTTAAACCACTGCGCCACCTGCAACCAGACTATATCCTTCCTGTAATGAGGGGCCCCAAAACTGAACACAATACTCCAGCTGTGGGTGCACCAGAGTCACATAGATTGACTTTCTTGATCTAGAAGCCATGCTTCTGGCTATGCAACCAAGGGTGACATTTGCCCTCTTGACCACCGCATCAGACTATTGTCTCATGTTTAGCCTGCAGTCAACCAGTACACCAAGATCCTTTTCACAAGTGCTGCTCTCCAGCCACTTATCCCCTAACCTGTACTTATGACACCCATTCCTATGCCCTAAGTACAAGACCTTGCACTTATCCATATTGAACAGCATCCTGTTGTCTCCTGCCCACTTCCATAGTCTGTCCAGATCCTTCTGGATCTGGAGTACCTGTTCCTCAGTTGTGGCTACTGCCCTCATTTTAGTGTCATCTGCGAATTTGATCAGCAAACTGGTCACCCTCTTTTCCAGGTCATTGATGAAAAGATTGAACAGGATTGGTCCCAGGACAGAGCCCTGGGGGATCCCACTTGTCACTGGCCATCATCCCAATGCTTCCCCACTAATAGTTACCCTAATACTAATACCCTAATGCCCACAAATGACAGTGGCCAACCCCAGGATTGTGCAAAGCAGCAGATATAGGAATGTTGCCTGCCCTCATCCCTTGAGTGTATGAATCAGATATGAGATGATTAAACATCTTAGGTATACCATCCTGCTTACCGGAAGGTATACATAAGCACCTATGAAATGAGTTCAGTGTTAACTGAATTTCCCTGGAAACTGCAGACTGGAAGAGAAACACGCAATGGTGGTTACTATCACGTGGGGGACCAAGAGCTACTGAAAAGTTGCACCTTCTGCCTCCTAGGAAGAGCATCACAGCAAGAGGGAACCCATCCTAGTTCCATCCTGGTCCATCAGCCAGAGCAGGGGCAGGATGGCTGCATATTCCCTCCCTGGCAAAAAGAGCACTCAGCATCTGCTGGCTTTGCTCCAGAACTGTAGAGTTGAAAGGAAGACTATTCTGGCTTCTTTCGTTGGCTAGTAGGACAAAAAGTTGATGGATTGTGTTAGTGTGTGCATCATTATTGCAATCTATCATAAAATTCCTTGAGGATCACTCCATCAAAAGTAGAAAATAAATACTCAAAACAAGTAAACAAATGCAGTTGCAGCTAAGCAATGCAGTCTGCACAATCTAGATTGTAGAAGAGGCCTTCATTCTTTCTTCCTTTTCCTTTGTAGTACTGTTGCAGGATACTAGCAGGGACTGCAGCAATTGCCGTTGGATTCATGCATAGCCTATTTCCCCCCAGTGTGATTTGGGGCTGATCTGAAGAAAGGTTATGCACAGAAAGTCTCATGAATGTACTTTGTTTTGGTTAGACTAGACCTGAATGAGTTCTGGAAAGAAAGAAAAAATACTGTGCATTGTGAGAATTCTCATGCCACATTTACATGTTGCAGTTTTTGCAGATTTTTGTATTGTTTCAAAAATGCCAGAACTTGTTCTACTGTGGCATAAAATCAGTGTCTGTATATACCATGGGAGGTGACGTTTCTCTCAAGCTACCTCCAGTTTCCAGCTTTTTTTTCCCACAGCTATTGCATCGCTAGCCTTCCTATGCACTGGAAGGGCCATGAACATACAAGCAGAGATTTCTGTAACTGGACCTGACCTGAGCAACTCCTTGTTTGCATATTCATGGTTTTCCCCAAGCTGGTTGGCTGCTGTTGGCCTCCCTGGTACCCTTATCTGTGACTGTGATTCAGTGCTTAGAGGGATTTTTCATGACAATACCAATGAGCCAGTGCCCCTTTCCCATTCAACAGAGGTCTCCAGATGCTTGAAAGCCAGGTTAGCCTGCTTTTTACCTCTGACAGCCAAGGTGAGTGTTCTGCCTCTTAGAACATGAGAGAAGAATCTCAGTGGCTTGTTTTGAGTACTGAGTACTCTCTCCATGTGGAAATATTGTGATTCTTCCACTACCTTAATTTTAATTTTGCAGACTTTTGCTAGGAAGGTTGCAGAAGCACCATATTTTAAAATATTTTTTCTTGATAACATCTCTTTATCATGCATTTCTCTTCTAATGTTGTTCTCTTTTTAGTATTTTTCTAATGGGATTTGGAGGTATGCAAAAGCATCTTTGATCATTTTGGTGGTGTCTGGTTGTTTGGGAGAGCAGGTTGGAAAGGATTAAGGGATTCTATCAGTTGCCAGCTATTTGGTGTGTGCCTCAGATAGATTTGGGAACAGGAGTGATACATGGAACTCTGAAGACACCTTGTAGGGGGAGTTTTTAAAGGGGAGATTGGTTTAGCTGCTTTGATATAATGTGGGATTTATCTTACTGCTAGATGACTTATGGTGAGGGAGTTTCAGCTGTTTGGTGAAGCAACCATGGGCAAACTTCTGGAAATATTTTCCCACTGTATTGGGAGAAATTTCATTTATGGCTATGCAGTCTTTTTGTAAATATTTTCTATTCATCACTGGGAGGATGAATATGGTTTTTATTAAAGCAATGCAGCAGGTGGCCTTACCTGCACTGTCACAAATTTGGGGACTGGCTTTGTATAGGACTTAATCTCATGCACATTGCAAATGAATTGCAGATGAGGGGATTTAGGGATCCATCATGCAAGGACAGATTAATAATCAAGTTGACATTCATTTAAAGTACTTACATGTTTCTGCTTATTTGGTTGTAAAGAAAATGAAGACGTGTGTGCTGTGCCTGCTGAGGGGTCAGAGACGAAAGGGCTCCCATTGGCCAGGAGTTGGGGTTTCAGGGCTTAGTCTCTACTTCCTATCTATTTTCTCATCTGCTCCCTTTGCTAACTATCAGTCCTACATACCTGCTAATTTTCCTCCCATACTCAGCACTATTGTCTTTCATTTCAGCTTGCTTCCCGAAATACTCCTTACAAGTAGTAAAACCAATGGGCTTTAAGGGTACTTCCAGACAGCACTTTTATTGTGCCGTCACCCTGCTTCATTTTACAGGGTGGTGGTGGTCCATACATTGCCACCTTCTGTTCCTAAATATCCTGTGATTTCCTGCTGCCTCCCTGTTTTTCCTCACCAGAAACTAATCTATTAAGGAAAAGATGGAGTAGCAACACAGTGCCTTTCATTTTGTAGTGCTAGGAGCCCCCCATCTGGAAGCCCCACCGTTGGCACTAAAATGACATTGCAAAATTTGATGACTCACAGCTTTGGAAAGGGGACAAACCTGAATGTGAATGAGAAATATATGTTAGCTAAATCTTCCTCCTGAAGGCTGAAGGGAATGAGCAGTTTTACTCAGGAGAAAAAATGATCTGAGGGGAAAGTATTGATAGGTTTCAAGACATTACAGCCGTTCCGATACATTTGTAGGAGACAGGATAGAAAAGCTTTTAATGAATAAACAAATAAAGCGGCTTAGGCAGAAAATCTAAATGGTACCCTCTTCCCCTGATATTGCTAATGAATGTGAGCTACAAGTCTCTGCAAGCTGCATAATCTCTGTTACCCTGCACCATCCTGTAACTAAGCCAAATGGCAGGTAGCTTAAATGCACACATATTCTTTCTCTAACTACCTATGCCTTCATCTTGTATTCCCTGGTTGTTTTCCTGGATCTAGTTTATATGGCAAGCCCTTAGGTATGGACCTGTTATAGTTTGCTTCTTGTACAGCACCAAACACAGAGGTGATGCTATAGAATTAATTGGGTGCAAAACTTCTTTTAGATGGTTTCACAGAAGCTCTTGGGGGCTGCATGTCAGTGGTGGGCAGGCCTGTGCACAAAGGAGCAGGGTCCAAATTTCAAAACTACCCACATATTTTAAAAATACCCGCATTGCTTAAATTTATTTATTTAATCAATATGTTAAATGACTCATAAAATATTGTGCTTTTTCTGTGTGACTTACAATATTGATCAAAATAAAACAGAAAGCAATTACTAACATGAATTTCGGGGGGGTGTCTTTCAGTCTTTCAGAATAGAGGGAAACAGCATAAAAGTTGGAGAACACATGATTGGTAGTTGAGGGGAAAGGGGGTAACTCCAGGGAAGGACATGAACCTTCTGCAGAATCTCAACAGACCACACTGAGACCGCTGGAGAACCAGATTTGTCCCCAGGCCTGACAAATTCCGCACCCAGATAGTAAAAATGCATGTATATGTTTATGAAAAGAATCAATTGGTAGGTAAGGGGGAGCTACAGAGGGTTTTGATGTGTTTTTACGTGGTTCTCACTCATTTTAATGAGGCTTCCATAGGCTAACGTCCTGCTAAAATGTGTCTCCTGAGCCAGATAACTCTCTCTCCTGCTCTGCCACTCTCCAGGTGCAACCCTATATATATTTAACCAGAAAAAAGGCCTACAACTCCCAACATGGTTGGAAAACATGGGAGTGTTACACATGGAAGACAATGTTGTTTTGATTCTCAGTAAAATTCCATGAAGGAAGCAAAGAGATTACTCAATAAAAGCCTCATCTGGAAGTAGCCATCGGTCAAAAGGAAGTTGAAGAAACTCTTCTGGACAGAATATTTTGGCTCCCCTGAGAGAGGTTCTTCTCTCTGTGAAATTATTTCTATTCTAGCTAACCATGATTAAAAGACCAACAGATGTTACAGATATTACAGCATTTCATTTGCATCATAACTGGTCATTATAAGAACCATATAACATTAAGAACTGGTGCCTGAATTTTCTTGTTTTCCTTCCCCCATCTTTTCCCCTTTTCTGTGGAAAAGAAATTTTTACCATCTTTTATCTGGTAAAAATCTGAGGGCACCAACTGTCCCATTTGTATTGATCAGTAAGCTCCTGTGGGATCCTTTCCAGCTGAAAAGCAGTTTATAAACACTTTAAATATACAAATACTACTTTGGGGTGGGGTGGAAAACATTACGCTTCCAACGGTATGGTTTTATGACTCCTGGATATCACAGTTTCCCCTAGATATTGTTTGTATATCTGTTGTATTCGAATAGAGATGTAAGTGGAATGCTGAACAGAGTTGTTCCCTTGCATATAGAATGGAGGGCCTTATCTTTAGCCTCCAAACGCTTCACTGTACATCCAAGGGGTACCCTGACCGCCTCACTGATTTCCCAGCTGCCTGTACTCCATAGTCTCTCCTCAAGGGGCTCTGTGCTGCTAGAAGCCAGGAAAAAGCATCTATGTTAGAATTCCTTGGATATGTGAGTATGTGTGTGCACATCTGTGTATTCACATAGTACCTTGACCCCCAAGTCAGCAGCATATGTGGTTCCTGGAGCCCTGAGACACGAGGCCAATAAATCCTTATCTTGTTGTTCAACTGCTAGATAAAATATGTTCTCTTTTCTTGCTGTTCCAGAGTTCTGACCATCAAAAGCATAACATCACAACTGAAGTATAAAAACAAAACACACACAGGTCACTCTTGGTCTTAAAATCACAAGTTCTGCCCATACTGCAATCTTATTACTTAGATTGCTATTTTGTTGGATAGTAACTCTTGGTCTTGAAGGAGAAAAAATATGAAAGCAAATACTGTCTCTGACCAGTATTATGGCTCTGCTTCAGGACATGGTGAGAAAGGACAACCTTGTGTTGAAAGAAATGATTTCTTTCCTTCTGCTTCTTGCTATGCATCTATAATATCACACCTCCTTAGCCAGCCAGAAGCTAAATCTGAGTTGATTCCAAGTTTTCTTTTCCCTTCACTACAAAAAGCTCAACAGATGTTCCAAAGTGGTGGAAATGCTACATCCTCCAGGGAAGCTTCTTCCATGAATCAGTTGCATTCTCTGTACAGCTTGAGTAACTCTATCCATAATGAACACCTACAAGCTAAGAGGGCCAGGGTGGAAAATATTATCCGGGGAATGAGCATCATACCAAACCCTACAGGGTCTGATACCCCAGGGGAAAGTGGTGAACACCATACTGAAAAAATCAAGGAGGACTTTAGAGAGAATAAGAGAAAGCAGAAACTCCCTCAGCAGCAAAGCTTGCATGAGACTTCTTTGACAAGATGTTGCAGAAACCGCATCCCACCAGAAGAATACCTTCAGCTGAAAAAACAGCTCCATGTTTTGCAGCACCAGCTGAAGCAACTTCGAGAAAGCTTACCTCTGTCTTCTGGGCTCAGTGGATCCAGTCAAAGCCAAGGAAACATGGAGAAGATGATGGATCTGATGAAGGAGAAGATTGGACAAAGTTTGGACAATGGTAATCAAGCTGCCATAAGTGACCAACACAAAGATCTTTTGCAGAAACGTATCTCCAAGATGAGAGGACCAGAGTTGTCAGAGAAAGAAACAGGAATAATGGATTCAAATACCTCAGCTTCAGAAGATAAACCTCTTTCAGAGTTATTAAAACATGAGTTAATCCAGGTGGTGACACAGGCTGTGGACTCTGTTTTGAAAAAGGTCTCATCTCAGTCAGAGGGCCTCCAATCTCAGTTGCCCAATGGGCTGGAGGTGACCATGTCCCCTATTGGGAGAGAATTTGTAGGTGCTGGAGAAAATGCATCCAGTCCATGGCTTCTTAAGGGTTCTCCTCATAAAGGCTCAATATCATTAACCACAGAAAAACCTCCAGGCTTTCCTAGTCATCTAGTCCCATCAAAAAGGGAGCCAAAACGTTGCCAACTACTGCCTGTGAATCATCCTATAATCGTGAACTCATCTGAGGTTCAAGGAAGTGGTCTTTTTAACCAAATGCTCCTCTGTGGTCAAAATAGTCCCTGGGGCAGCTCGTCTCCAGGAACAGTCTCTTCTTCAGAATCCTCAGATATGCCATGGCAACCAATCAAACTGAGGTCATCTGTCATGAGACAACACCGCTATCCAATGTCCTACAAATCCATTGAAATGGAAAGTTTGACCTCTCTGCCTGCATCAAATGCAGAGTTTGCTGAAATGCACCCTATGATGGACGGGGTGTACTTTCCTTCAACACATATATCCTTTAGGAGTCTTCCTTTATCCTCGCCATTTACAGTCCTGGCCATGGATGGCAATTTGGTGTTGCATTCTTACAGGGACTGGTAAGATGGAAAATGAAGTTCCCGCAGGCTGCTAGAAGCCTGATTTTGTTAGAGAAAAGTCTGTATGAGAATCCCCATGTATCTCCCTCAGCACAATTGAGGTGGCAGCAGCAGAGCATGGGGGTGGGGGGTTGAATGGAGGGACATCGGGCAGTTTGTCCATGTGTGGCCTAAATGAACTCTGTTTTTTCAAAGTGAAATGTATATGAAGCCTCAGTAATTGCCTCTGTTGTGAAAGGACACTTTGAGAGGAGGCAGTTTGCTCTGGAGGGGTGTGATGGGGCAGAAGGATGCTTAGCTCTTTTTTTCTATTTGCTTTTTTTCCACTGCAGCTTTCCCAAAACTTCTTTTCCCCTTGCAGGATTCTAGATGTGAATTTAACCATGCAATAATATATGAAGCCTTGGAGGAGAGGAAGTGGAGGGGTGAAGGCAATGCAGCGGAAAAAATGCCAAGGAATGAATTGGGACTTTCCATACCCAACTTCAGTAATCTTCCTCAGTAAAGTTAATAAACAGGGCATATATGTTCTGCATAAATTTAATGTCTCTTCAGAGCTCTGGATAAGAAGTAAAGAATGGTTTACCTTGTAACATTAGGGCTTGGAAGGCACTGAGGCTCATCTAGCCCAATCCTTCCCTTAAAAATGCCTATCAGATTAGCTCACATCATCCCAAATTTAAACTATGTGAAGCAGAGAGCAGGAAAAAACAAGGTGTATCACTATGCTACAGCTCATCATACCCAAATCCCAGTGAAGCTACAGCACCTGTAAAAGCTATACAGAAGAGGACATTCTCCCAAGGTCAGCTTTTCTCATCACTGTAGAACTATGAAGGGAAAAGCCAACTTCCTCCTCCTATGCAGTCCTCTCAGGTTTTCGACCTGGCTGCCCTAACTCCTCTTAGATCTGCCTGAAGGGCAAGAGTGATTTTTAGGGAAAGTGCAAATGGCACGTGTAATCCAATCAGCAGTGGTGCACTTCAGTGACCACAGGCTCTGGGTCTAATGTCATAACAGCAGCCTCCCTCAACTGGGTGCCCGCCAAGGGCGTTGCACTACAAGCTCATAGCCCCAGCCAGCAAAATGAGCAGTTGTATCATCAGGGAGTGATGGGGTTGCAGCACATCTGGAAGGTGCCAGGTTGGGGAAGGTGATCTTATCTGGGCCCTGCTCTTTAGTGTGTATTTGTTTACTTATTCCAAACTGTGGCAAGCCAGCCCAGCTGAGCCTGAGCCCCTGATGCTTATTTTGCTGGGCCAGGCCCTGGGCATCTGTCCCAAAGTCTTGCTCTGGCAGCAAGAGAAGAGGCTGAAGAAGTTCTGGACTTGCTTTAATACAGCTGATGTTGCTTATGGTGCCTAGGAACTGGAAATGTTTTCCCCTTGACTCCAGATTACATCCAGGAAGCTTTAAACCCAAGCCATCTGAAAAAGGCTAAGCTGATGTTCTTCTTCTCTCGCTACCCAACATCTTCTCTACTGAAAGCCTACTTCCTAGATGTTCAGGTAAAGTTACTCAGCTTTGTGTATCCCAAAGTTAATAAAAGGACCTGAGCAGATAGTAGCTTCTCCCATCATAGGGCATCCACTGTTGTGGTAAATGGGAGGATGAGGAAAAGTACAGAAAGAAGTACTAACTAGCATCTCTGTGCATCAGTGTGCACGAAAGAAGTGATATTTAAAATAGTAGCACCCACCATGGCTCAGTCTGTCACTTGGATCAATGTCTATGATTTGATGTATGGCTTTTGTCCATCTTTGACAGAAACTGGCAGGATAGAAATGGTTAAAATCAAAATAAAAAATTGGACGATTAAAGATCAGCACTATCTCTGGGTTGTTGGTGGCAGGTATGAATCAGAGAAAAACCCAGGTATAACTCTTTGGCTGCAGGTAAACCCTGTTAGAGCAATACCTTTCCTAAGCCAGCACAAAGCTCACAAACAGGGAGAGATACTCACTTCTGAGTTCTCAAAACTCTTAATCAGGCTAACCTAGCCTTCCACCCTCCATCCAGGTGTACCGGTCTGCAGGTCTTGTTATTTCAAGCCACCACGGCCATCTGCAGGACACCAGGAAGGGAATGCCTGCATTAGATCAAGGTAGATCTTGATTTGTTTTGGACTTCAGCTTCCAGAAGCCCCTGCCAGCATGGCCAATGGTCAGAAATGCTGAGAGCTGAAATTCAAAGCATCTGGCGATCTCCTTTCTGTCCACCTTGGCACTGGATAATAAAGCAAAAACCCCCAAAGTGTGTCTGTGGGGGAAACATCTGGCTGATATTGAAGTCACGGGGTGAGCATTTACTCACAGTCTTAAAATAGAATTTGGGAGGAGGTTACAAATATTCCAATTAGGACTACCTAATTGCCTGGACAGTCTTTCATGAGGGAAGTACTGTAAGTGCCATAAACTGTGGGGCATTAGTGCCCCCTAGTGACTGTTCATAGAGCAACAGCCTTTTCATGTTTTGTGGCATTTGAAAGACAGATGCATGTATTAGACTTAGAGCATCAGTGTTCAGGGATCAGAGCAAACTTCAGCAGATGTGGTGATACCATAATAATTGTCTTTGTCTTTGGGGTGTCAAGATACCCTGCTGTTTTGCTGCAACAGAACAACATGGCTACCCTTTTGGAAACTTTTTGTTTTTGTCCACAGTGGCTGGAGCCCAGGGTTGCCACATAGGCACCGGGCTGGTCCCACACAAAGTTACATGTACTTTAGTGCCACTGGAATTAATTACCTTAATGAAACTAATGAGTGACTACCATGGCCTGTATCTATCCCAATGCTTTTTAATAATAAGCTAGTGGTGGAATTAAAATATTGGTTCCATGTAGTTTTAAGATACTGCACATATTCCCTGTGATACATTTTCTTGCCAGTAAATCCTGTACAGCAAAGAACATGCTTCTTCCTGCAACTGCCCCTCTAACTGGTAAATTTCTCTCTTTGTGCCTTGTTTTAAAAGCAATTTCTGCTCTGACATCAGTTACTTCCTTTTCACTTGCATAGCAATGGTTTTGCCAGACTGCCCCTTAGAATAATCACTTCCTATTCCCCATTCAACAGAGAGGTTTAATTACATGTTTCTTCTCTGCAGACATAGAAATTGCTCCTCATTATTTTTCTTCTTCTTTTAGAAATGCAATTTTTCAATAAAACAAAACTGCTCTGGTTACAAACATGGCATCAGTAATCAAATGCTATCCGCAAAACTTTCAGAAAACAAAGACTAATTCATTTAAAACGGCTGTAAAGTATATTCTGGCCAAAAGGCAGAATTACAGTTTGGGAAGGGAGGCACATTCCAGCCATAGGTCCTGTTAAAGACAGAAGGTGGGAGGAAGCAAAGTGGACGGGGGCAGCAGTAAATCTTCTTTGGACATTTCTTCATATATACATATATTTGTGTGGTGGGGAGCCCTTCCAAAGGACCCAGTACAAGGCAGAACTGAGCTCTGAGCTCCAAAACAAGAACAATTCATTTGAATCAAAATAAAAACAACACTTTGCTTGCAAGCATGTCAAGTTTGACTTTTCATTTACCCCGCCCCCTTAAATATAATACAATTCAGGAGGGGAAGGGAGACTTGTGGGTGCCAATAGAGGTGCCTGCAGACACATTGGTGTCTATGGGCACTTAATTGCAGGCCCAGAATTAAGGGGTCTTTACCTCTCAGCTGGGTATCAGAAAAAAGTTACATGGGCCACCTTAGGGGAAAAGTTCCTGAGCCAAGATGCAGCTAGTAAGACAACCCTCTCTTGTCCCTTCCCAGTGAACTGTTGATACTGGTGGCACAAAGAGAAGGGCCACACCAGACATTCTCAAAATACAGGTGATCTTTTGGCAGGTCAGTGACCCTGCAGTAAAATTCATGTGTGGGAATGGAGCAGCTGGGTTTCAGAAGAAGTGCATATATACAGAAGAGGCAAGATGTATAGCTCACTGGAAACAGAAGAGACTGTGACACGCAATGCAATGGTACATGCTCTTTCCACAGTTCACCCGCTGTGTCACTTCCCAGCTCATCAAATGGTTCAGCAACTTCCGTGAATTTTATTATATCCAGATGGAAAAATTTGCCCGGCAAGCCCTCTTAGAAGGAGTCACGGATACCAGTAACCTCATTGTCACGAGGGACTCTGAGCTCTTCCGAATCCTCAACGTGCACTATAATAAAGGGAATGATTTTGAGGTGAGAAGCCTACACTCAGCAAGTATTCCTTATTGCAGGAGATGTGCCTTATTCTAAGAAAAATATTTTTATTTTAGAACTGAGAAGCTCTCAGGAATGTATGGGTGTATCCTATTATTACAGAACATCAGAGTTCAAGAAAAGGCGCTGTAACATAGTCCTGGTTTCCCAGAGTTGGCAGGAGTAGCTTAAGCCAGGGAGTCCAACTCCACTCCCATCACTCTGGATCAGGGACCCACAGTGGTCTCTTGTAATATGGAAATACGCTGTGAAAATAAGCGAGACGGAGCTGTTTTGCAGTTGCACTTTATACCAGCCTTCCCCAACTGGTCCTTTCCTGATTTTTTGGACTCCAGCGTTCCCGGCCAGCATGGTGGCCAGAGAATGCTCTCCGCAGCAAGGCTTGCTGGGCACCCACATTATAGACTTTCCATACTGGGTGAAGAATATTTAGTTCTCTTGGGCATTTTAAGATCTACAGGTGTGCCCACTTATCTGAGATGAAGCCACATTCAGTATCCTGGAACGTATTTTACTGTTAGTAGGCATAGGAACAGGCTGCTGATTGAAGCTGTTTTAAGGGCTAGAGTTATGATTCTCTAGCTTTTTTTGTTTTGTATTGTGGTTAGTTTTTATTCCATTTGATTTTTAGAACATGTGCTTTAGGCTCTTAACTGTTTATTTTTTATTTAATTCATTTATATACTGCCCAATAGAGCACCCATGGGACATAGTTAACTAGCTGGATTACAAATGATGTAAGTAAATAAACTGACAATGTTGTCCTCTACATTTGTATTTAATTGCTAATTAAGGGTAACCCTTCATGCATCTGATGGACTCTGGTCCACAAAGGTTAAGCATTAATAACTGGGCTCGTCTCCAAGATGCCACCAAACTCCTTGTGTCTTTCAGTGAGAGCCATGAGCTCCCTGCTGGCTAGCAAGAGAGACTCAGCAGGAGCTGTATCAAGTTGGTGTGGGAAAGAGCCCAATCGACACATCAGGCCCAAGATCTTTTTTCTCACAGAGGTTTGGTGACTTCTGTACAATCTAGTTAGGGAAGTAACTAACAGAGGAGTAACAAGTTTTCTGCTCCTTCAGAACCCAAACTTTGCCATGATGATGATATCCTGGGGAGTGGAGGTACTCCATGACACCAGCTTTGCCAAACTAAGATCAGCCTACACTACATAGATGGCAAATTAGCCAACAGCAAGTTTCATGTCCCTAACTTTCTTATTCTCTGTTATGTAGGTTCCCAGTGGTTTCCTGGATGTTGCCAGCCTGACCCTTCAGGAATTTTTTACTGCTGTAAGGGCAGGGAAGGATCTGGATCCTTCTTGGAAAAAATCAATTTACAAAATAATATCAAAGCTCGATAGTGAGATACCAGACATATTTAAATCCACTTGTTGCCCCAAGGAGCTGATTCAAGGTTAACGCAGAATTATCAGGGTGACTGGCACGTGACCATAGGATGGAGAACACCCACGAGGACAAGTGAGGTCCAAGTAAAGAGGGTGTCTCCATTGACTGCTGCTGTTTCATGACCACAAACTTGGGAAGCAAATGGAACATGAAGTCACAGAGAAAGACATCAATATTCCTACTTTATGGAGTGACATAATATGAAAGCCTTTATTCTGGGATGGCAGCAGGGACCGTCTGCTTTCTGTCTTCTGTGTCTTTCTATTGCCAGTTTTACACAGTCCAAATTACTCTGCCTTAATTTGTATCATTCCCTTGGAGTTGTCAAGCTAAGCTAGAGTATGGTGAGCTGGCAGCATGTTCCTTCACTGGCTAGGCACAGTCAAAGTACATCGAAACCAGGCAAACTAAACTACACTATCAAAGGTTGAGGCGGTGCTATGCAATTCCATGTCTGTGGAATTTGGGCCAGCCTAACATTTAATGGATTACAGCCAACTCCCTGAATTCTGAAGTGTACTCTATAAAGCATGAAGCATCTTTGGTCATTTGTGGAAAAGTAACATCTTTTAAAAATAGGGTCAGTAAAAGGCTCCTATTCTGTACCCCTATTATGACTGAATATTACCCACTTCTCAACATAAACCTTGCAGGAGGTCCTGCATGAAAAAAATAACTTTCAGCCAGCATAGCTATTATCTTCACACTTTTACTACTTCTCATCTCCCAATTTTCCCATTTTGTGTAACCTTCAAAACCAAAACTGTGTGCTTGTGAATGAACTTCTATAAACCCTTTCAATTCCCCAAGCAAGGTAGACATAAGAAATGTAGACTTGTCTGTGAGCAATCTACAGCTTTATCTTGTGCAAACTCAGAAGTAAGTCCAATTGTATGTAACAGGGCTTTGTTTTGGCTAAGTATACACAGGGTAGCAGACCTTACCTAACTTTGTAATGGTTCCCTTTTAACTGAATGTAGTTTGGTAAAGGTGCATGTGTGCATGTGTGTAATCAAATGACTCTTTTGGTAAGTTGGGTGTGTCAGATGAAGACATTCTGAGTACCCTTCCTCTGTTCTCCAGAAGCTACAGTAAAACATGCTGGCCTCCTTAGGGATGGTTTTGTTCCTATTATGATGCCTTTGTTATACTGCAGTTTAGTGAACTGCAGTTTAGTATTTTTAAATAGTCAATCCACTGGATTGGGAATTGGCCTCCCTTGGAAGGAAGGGCTTCTTCTGTCTGCAGGATTCTGATCCAACCAGTGAAATGGAGAAGCTGGTACTCTTTATTCATTCTGCCCTGCTCCAGGCCATTCCACATCTGATCTGAGGGGTGGGAACTTTCTGTGACAGTAGAGGAGGTGCACTACAGGCTGCAAAGAAGGGAAAGAAATTATAAAGATCGTTTCTCCTGCTTTCTGGGTGCAGAAAAGTTCAAAAGTGGACTCCACCCAGGGAATGTCCCTACCAACAGAAAGACTGGGTACAAGCCTTTGTGCCCTATTTATCAGATGATAAGCAAGAGTTTACCAAATAAAAGCAATGGATTCTCTGGGCTGCAATGAGATTAGGGAGAAATAAAGGGGGATCCCCCTCCCCCAAAGCACCAAAGTGTCACAGTGATTGGATTGTTGCACTGTGCAGTCTCAGTCCTGGTCCCTTCTTGACCATGAAGCACACTGGCCATTGTCACTCCAGCCTAACTCACAGGGTTGTTGTTATAAGGATAAAATTGAGCAAAAGAGGACTATGTAGGCTGCTTTGAGTTCTTTGTAGGGAAAAAGCTAGCATATAAATAGAATAAATAAATCTTCAACAGAAGTATTAAGATTATATTTAATTTAGCATTTCAGCTATGACCTGCAATCATCAAAGCAGCTGGTCAAGTTGAACCAGTGCCCAGTGCACAGCTGGAAACTCCCTCCAACCCATGTTCCAGCCAAACATAGTCCCTTAAGTATTATGCATATAAAATATCTTTATCAATGGATCTCTCTCAGTTTTCTCATTTTTATAATGAATGAACTGGTCAAATAGAAGTTTGAGTGAGGTGTGTCCAGTGTAATTATTATTTTGTCCCCCATTCAGTTAGCTGTGTCTGGAGAAATTCACAAACATATACTGGGGCCAAGCAGGAAAACAGCTTTTCAGAGTGGTATTGCCAACATAGCATTTCTCTAAAGAAGCCCATCACTCACATCCGATCTCCAGAGAGAGGCCCTCAGCACTCCAAGGCGCCCTTTTGTCTTCTAGGAACTAATTTTCTCTCTCTCTTCTTCATTCTCCTTGTATTTTTTTCCAAAACTGTTTCTATTTTCATTTTCACATAGAGATCTAACTTATTGCATCCTAGGTGGGGGATTATTGCCCCTGGTCCAGGTTGCTTTGGGAAATACTCATTCCCAGAGTCCATGAATCCTCTGTGACGTATATCTGCTGCCACCCCCTTTTTTCTCTTGGCTTGGTTTCATGCACCGAAAATATCCTGGCATCCCATTATCCCCCTCCCATTTCTTTTTTATCTTGTGATATCACTTTTTGCTTACATCACATTGCATTTATATTCAGACTGATTTCCTCTTGTGAGAAACCCAAGGTGGCTTACATAGATCACTTCCATCTCAAGTGTTATCCTCACAACAAGCACCCTGTGAGGCAGGTTGGGCTGAGAACAGGTAACTGCCCCGAAGTCACACAGTGAGCCTCACAGCCAAGTGGGGCGAAAACCCAGACTGCCCAGATCTGCAGGCCAACACTCTAACAACCATGCCACATGGCTCTCTCCTTCCCCACCAGTCCTGGCTCTGCACTCCCTCTCCATCAACTTGGTTTCTGCCATCCTCCACTGCCCACAATCCTACGTGCCAGTTCCTCTTCCTCCTGCCCATGTGCCCTTCCATCCCTTCAGGTGAGCACAAAGGCTAGTCTTCCTTCCCCTCCTTTGGCAGAAAATGTCCTCCTCCCCCCCACATGCTTGAGCCTGTTTAGTCTTCTTCTGCACTGTTATTTCCCCACAATCCTCACTCAGACACACTGCAGCCCTTATTCCAACATAGACAAAACTTCCCCACTCCAAACCAAACCTCCCAGCAAGAAAGATTCCTCTATACTAAAGCATATCCTTATTTCAGCATTAATGAAGGATGATGTTTTCTTTAAAATATATTTTGCCTATAGAAACTGTTACTTTCATTGCTGTCAAGTTGTCTCTGACTTATGGTGACCCTACAAATGAAAGTCTTTCAAAATGTCCTATCCATGACATCCCTGCTTAGTTGTTCTAAATTCAGAGCTGTGGCTTCCTTTCTGGAGTCAATCCATCTCTTATTTGATTTTTAATTTCTTTTTCTACCCTTGGCTTTTCCCATAGAAACTACAGATTATCATCTCAAGAATGCCTATTGAAAACTTTTGTGGATATGTGAGCTGTGCTGCCTAAAAGCTGTGCCTATAATATAATCCCCACTCCCACCCCATTCTTCCTCATCCCAGAATGACTCTAAGTATCTAATTTTGTTTTGGAATGAAAATAAAAAGCACAACTCAGACTGGCATATGTCAAAACTGCAGCAGGCAGATAACAGTACAGAGACCAGCTGGTTCCAGGGATGCAAGAAAACAACCGGTATAAATCTAGAGAGCAACAGAGAAGAGGGAAGAGGATGGGAACAGAGGACACTGGTACGTCTGTGAGTGGGCATAGATGGCTAGTAGAGCCTGGATGACTTGAGAAGCTCCTAGAGTGGCTGCTCTTCCCAAGGGCCTCTGTGATGCTGAATGCCAGGACCATGGAAACCACAAAGCTGGGTTTAGACATCATGAGAAACCATCACAATGAGCAGAAACCATGAAAGAAGCTCTTGTTTTTTAATTGTGGCTTCAACAGACGTTGATGGAGATAAAAATGAAACAACACTGTGGCTTCTCATGTCATACAAACTCAGTCTTTCCATAATGGTACCTTATCTCACAGAGCTGCTGTGAGAATAAAATGGCAAGCTGAGGAGGGTGATTCATGCAGATTGCATTGAGCTCCTTGGAAAATGAGCAGGATATAATGTGCTAGGTAAGAACATAAAGAATCTTCTGGATCTTTTCAAGCTGCCCTCTAAAGCTACTCTGGTCCAAAACAAAAGCTAAAATAAATACTCGCTAGTTGGACAGAAAAACCGAACAAGGCAATTTGGGTAAAGAGAGAATTGTGAATTAACATTTATGGTTCAAAACGGTTCCATTGGAAAAACAAGGCAGAGATCATGCTTAGAAAATTAAAAAAATCAGACTGGGGAGGAACGGGCATAACACACTAAACAGAAAACCATTTAGCAACCCCAATGCATGTTAATTCATACGTCCTACTGAGTTCGATGAGGCTTACTCCCAAGTAAAGGAATACAGGACTGCAAGATTAAGAGAGCAAAAAAATCCTAGATCCAGGTCGTTTCTCCCAATATCTGTTCCGACGGTGGGCTCTGTCTTGGAGGCAGAGGGAGGGTCCGATTGCTGACAGGCCGCCTCTCAGAAGCCGATCGCTCATCCCCGCAACGTCTCCATCAAAGCGCGAAGAACCAGCAAAAAGAAGCCCGTGCAGCGTCGGTGCGGGCGAGCTTCCCCTCAAAACTGCGGCCAACCGCTTTGGCCAATTCGGGCTGGGCCTGAGCCTACGCTTAGGCCAGCGCTTTCCATAGGGCCCGAGCCGAAGGGCAGAGGCCGCAGCGGCTTCCTTTCGGCCGCCGCCTCCTCTTGGCCGGGGCAGGGCCGGGGCCGGGGCCGGGGCGGGCAAGCGACGGAGGCGGGGCGCCCAGGCCAGCTCGCGGTCCTGCCGGCAGGCGGCGGCGCGGGCACGCGAGATAGAGGAGGA